TCTTGGGCACAGAATTGTAGGGGTTGTGTATATGGCACGCGCCTAGAAAAAAAGTATGGTGCGATTTGGCAGTCTTCCGGGATAAAGCCCCACGTTGCAAAATAGTCGTGGGGAGTGAATCCTGGGCATAAGAGTTTTTATTTGAAAATTGTGAAAAAGAACCCTGACAAATCAGAGTTCGAGCTCCAGGGCACTCTGAAAATCAGAGTTTGGCCAGGAGCCATTCGTGAAAATCAGAGTGGTGAAAAACCAAAGATAAGCCTATCAGAGTTAGAGAAGTGAATGATGATAGAGTGAGAGTACACACAGATATACCTAAGTGTTGTACCCTCTAAGAGGCGACCCTATACAGTCTATACAAACATGACAAATACACATGTTTGACACACCCCCTAGACTGCATAGGGGAATGTCCTAAACAAGCAGCTCAGGGCGGCACTACTAGTCCAACCTCTGAGACAAGGGTCTGAGAGACCAGTCAGAAGGAGTACAGACAAGGCAAGAACAAGAGCAGGGCAGCACTACTAGTCCAGCCACTGGGAGAGGACACAAGTCCAGTCTGAGTATACGTATAAAGGACAGTACAAAGTCAAGGTCCTAGCAAGTGAGAGGCTACAGGAACTAGACCAAGCTGTACACAGTGCCGCTGATGATCTTTAGGCGCAAGCGCCTTCGTAAAGATATCAGCCGTGTTGGCACCTGAGGCCAAGTGTACTACGCGAGCCTGACGTCGCTGCTGTAGCTCACGCAGGAGGAAGTACCGCAGCTGAATGTGCTTTGCTCTGCCCTCGAGTCGAGGCTCCTGACACAGGAGGATCATGGCCCTGTTGTTAGCGAACAGGACCGGGGCAGAGCTAGGCCGCTCACCTAAGTCAGTGAGCAAGAAGGTCAGCCAGCGGAGCTCCTGTGCCGCCATGGCACCATCGTAGATCTCAGCCTCACAGCTGGACTGCGCAACAGACGAGCAGCGGGTAGCTCTCCACGAGACGGCACCTGAGCCAAGGCTGAAGCAGTAGCCCTGGGTAGACGGGTTGGCGAAACCTGCGGCTGCTGAGGGTGCAGCCACAAGTTAAGCTGGTGAGAAGCGTAGCGCACAGCGAACGGCCACAGAAAATGGGGTGCACCGGCATGGATCATGGAGGTGCGAGCCACCTCCATGACCAAACCGATGCGGCGCTCAGCGACCCCATTCTGCTGTGGGGAGTCCGGTAGGGTGAACGTCTGGGTGATGCCCTCTGCACGACAAAAGCGACCAAGGACACCTGAGGCAAACTCGCCACCACGGTCGGAGTGAAGACGCAAGACAGGGAGACCGCGGTGGACACGCGCAGAGACAAGCCAGGGGATGAGAGCGCCAGGCACGTCGGCCTTACGGTCCAGGGGAAAGACTGTGGTGTAACGAGTGAAGTCGTCGACAAGCACAAGGAAGTAGCGCTCTCGACGCGGCCCAGGGACGGGGGCGGGACCCCAGACGTCCAGGTGCAGGGTCTGCAGCGGCGCGGCGGTAGGGGGAAACGAGGAGGAGTGAGGGGCACGGCGAAGCCGACCCTCGACACAAGGCGTGCAAAGTGGGGCTGGGGAGGAGGGAAACGCGGGGAGGGAACCTGGGAGACCAAGGACAAGACCGTGCTGGGACATGTGACGCAGACGCGGGAGTGCAGGGTGACCTAGGCGGTGGTGCCAAAGGAGGGTCGGGTGAGTGAGGGACCGACAGGAGCAGGCAGCAGCAACCTGGGTGAGCGCTCCAGCCGGGGGGGTCACGGTGTCCAGAGTGAACAGGCCGGACACCGGGTCCCGGGGGAACGTGGACAGGGGGGCACCAGTGGCGGCCTCGGTACAGACAGCATACCGCTCGTGACCAGGGAACGTAGTGGTGACGCCAAGGTCCTGGAGGCAGCCGACACCAACTAGGTTCCTGGAGAACGAGGGGATATGCAGACCTGTGAGAGTGCCCGAAGGAACCGCCGGACAGGGAAGGGTGGTGGAACTGCGGGCGACTACCGGACCGCCGGAGGGGTCAGCAAGAGAAACGGCAGCTGGAACAGGAAGCGGCGTCAGGGTGGTGGAGTTGCGGAAGAAACACCGAGAGGCGCCAGAGTCCAAGGTGAAGGAAATCGAAGCAGAGGCGTCTGGCAACGGAACGACGGCAGAAGCACCAAGACTACACAAAGCAGGGGATCCTACGCCTGACGCAGCAGGGGAGGCTAAGCTAGGCACACCTACACTAGGCAACAGTGAGTAATAAGCGGGAAGCACACTAGAGTCATCAGCATACATCACATGCAGAGCAGAAACAATGGCATCCATGTCCATATCAAAAATCTGAATCTTACGACTAAGCAAACTGTGCCAGTCCGGGAGGTCTGGCGACGGGCCGAAGCGCTGACGAAAGAGGTCGTCCAAGCGACGAAAACAGCGGGGAGTGGAGTGACCGATCTTACCGCAAACGAAGCCGCGGAGAGGACCGGTCTGGATCTGGTACTGACAACGCCCGCCGCCAGAGCCACCACTCGGCACACCACCACGCGCCCGTCCACCGCCAGCGCCGGGCCACCCTGGCGGGAGAACACTCGTCTGCCGCGTCTGCGACGGCTGCTGCGGCTGCTGCGAAGGCTGCGACTGCGGCGGCTGCTGCGGCTGCTGCAACTGCAGGGGCGGCGACTCAGCTGGACTGGGCAGGGTCCCCTCGTCCGCTCCAGCACCAGGCGACCCGACCCCACCACTACCCCCGCCCGCACCCCCGCCGCCCCCTCCGCCGCGCCCAGCCTTGGGGCGGCGGCCCTTCCCAGAACGGGCCTGCGCTGCAGCAGCAGTCTCAGCCACTGCGGCAGAGCCGTCGGAGAAGGTACACTGAGCGGGGGCACAACCCTGAAAGATAGGGACCGACACGACACCGCTCGCCTGGGCGATGGAGCGGTGACGGGTCTCTATCACAGTCAGGGTGTCTACAAAGTCAGTGAGGGTGAGGTCTGCAGGGTGAATGCTAAGGAAGCGGTCGCGGGCGACAGCAAGGCGGTCAGGGAGGCGGGTGGCAAGCAGGTAGAGGGTAGAGGTAATGGGCGGCTGGTGGGCTCTAAGCTGTGCATCAGTGCAGGCTGCGCGCCAGGTCTCATCTATCGAGCGCAGGTGGGCAGCGAGGTCAGAGACAGTGGGGAAAGATGCAAGGTCAGGAAAGAGCATCGGGAGGATCAGGCGACCCACCGAGGCAGCCGGAGGGGTGGAATAGCGCTGGATGACAGCATCTAAGTATGCCTGAGCAGTAGTGAGAGACCTAAAGCGAGGGCGCTCGGACGGGGGAAGGGCGTTGCTAATGGCAAGCTGGGCGAGAAAGCCAGACAGAGCGCGCACGGGCAGTGGCAGCAGTGGACTCGCGCTCAGTGGGTGTGGAGTCAGCGGGCAGAATAGCAGGGGGGTCTGGGCAGGGGAGCGTACTGTCAAGGTGTGCGGAAAGCGGTTCACCATCCTGCCGCTGGCCAGTGAGTTGGCGACGGAGGTCGGCAAGCCACGCCTCGAACTCCAGAGGCTGGCCTTCAGCGTCGAAGCGAAGCTCCGCCGCCATCAGGAACAGTGCAGTGCGGTGTAGGGCGGTGCAGTGCGGTGCCAGGCAGTACAGGGTGGTGCGGGGCGGTGTAGTGCGGGGCAGTACGGTGCAGGGCAGTGCAGGGCGGGGGGGGGGGGGGGGGGGGGAGAACCGTACCAGTGAGAAGGACCGGGGCCGGGGCAGGGACGAGCGTAGGGGCCGGGCCGGTGCAACGGGGCCGGGCGGGTGCGACGGGTCCGGGCGGGCGCGACGGGGCCGGGCTGGTGCGACGGGGCCGGGCGGCGGGGTGCCGTCGGGGGCCGGGGCTGGGTGCGACGGGGCCGGGCTGGTGCGACGGGGCCGGGCGGGTGCGACGGGGCCTGAAGGCGTGACGGGGCCCAGGGGGGGGCTCGACGCGGCCCAGGAGGGGCGCTACGGGGCCCAGGAGGGGCACGACGGGGGCCCACGAGGGGCGCTACAGGGGCCCAGGAGGGGCGCGACGGGGCCCAGGAGGGGCGCTACGGAGCCCAGGAGGGGCGACGAGGCCGGAGGGGCGCTACGGGCCTAGGAGGGGCGCGACGGGGCCCAGGAGGGCGCTACGGGCCCAGGAGGGGCGCGACAGGGCCTGGGAGGGGCGCGACGGGGCCCAGGAGGGGCGCTACAGGGCCCAGGAAGGGCGCGACGGGACCCAGGAGGGGCGCTACGGAGCCCAGGAGGGGCGCGACAGGGCCTGGGAGGGGCGCGACGGGGCCCAGGAGGGGCGCTACGGGGCCCAGGAGGGGCGCGACGGGGCCCAGGAGGGGCGCTACGGGGCCCAGGAGGGGCGCGACGGGGCCCAGGAGGGGCGCTACGGGGCCCAGGAAGGGCGCGACGGGGCTCAAGGGGGGTCGCGACTGGGCTAGGGGCACGATGGGGCTAGGAGGGCGAGCGGAAGCGGTAGGTGGGGGGGGGATCCTAACCTACGCGTGATACCATATCAGAATTAGAGAAGTGAATGATGATAGAGTGAGAGTACACACAGATATACCTAAGTGTTGTACCCTCTAAGAGGCTACCCTATACAGTCTATACAAACATGACAAATACACATGTTTGACAGTGTGTCCCCCGAGGTGCGTTATTACATGGTTATGGCGACGGAGGGAGTGGCGCTGTTTGTGCAGGAATAGCAGAGGGGGGTCCCTCTTGAAAAGTAAGAGTCCCCTTTGTTTCCGTGGCCCTCTCGCACGACTAGTTGCGCAGTCTTGCGACAAGCTGTGTGACGGGCTGCCGACGCGGAATTTCTCAATTCCATTTTGCGTGCGCATACTCGCGCCCAACCCTGATAAATGTTTTGGTTTGACCAATGGGAGGAAAGTTTTGATGTTTTCGTTTCGTTTGGCGCGACATCGTGCGCCTCTCGTTTGGTGGCCTCGTCATCCAAAAAGGGACTTCGATTTTTTCCAGAGCAGCTGCCATCAAGAGGGACCCCCCTCTGCTATTTTGCCGTGGGGTTTTAAGTCATGGAGGTATTTCCAACAGATACAAAGTGGAAGGTGGCAAGTAAAAATATTATGAGTCCCGACCCTACGCTAGTATAAGGTTTTCCATCTAGCAATATCTGCCTTTCTACTTTTTTTCGTGGGTTTGCTGTGTTCCCAAACCATGGATAAAAAGTGGAGAGTCTTCGGTATAGACTGTTGTCTCCATTGCACATCTGAAAGAGAAAGAGACACATGTAGAGCAGGTTTAGTAGACATAAGTGCGTAATGGCGCAAATGAGGTTGCAGAATGTAGAGAAGAGTGTTATGGCTTGTCATATGGCAATAACAAAACGAGGGGTTGAGGAATATACGCGTGCGTGAGTCCATCAATATAGGCCATCGTGTGGCCACTCTATTGACTCACAGGTTGCGCAGCTGCTTGTTGAGCGAAGCCATGGCCAGCATGGTGGAGGCTGTTTTGAGATGTCTAAAAAAAAATCATTATCACAGTCAGTCAGACTCTGGTTGACTCACAGGTTGCGCAGGTGCTTGTTGAGCGAGGCCACGGCCAGCATGGTGGAGCCATCCAGGAAGCGCAGTTCGCCGTCCACGCGCTGCTGTATCCTCGTGTCCACGTCAGCAGCTGCCATCTCAGGGAAGGGCGTGTCTGACGCCTGCAGTAGGGACAGGGGTGGAGGGGTGGGAGGGGAGAAGATGGGAGGGAGAGAGAGGGGAGAGGATGAGAGTTGGTTGCAGATTCGGAGAGATTTGGTTCGCACACACATTGATGGGACCAGTGATGCTAGAAGATGTGCTTGTAACGAATGTGCCTCAGAGAGCCCGTTTGTGGGTATGGAGTGCAAATGCAAGCCTGGAAGCTCGTGTAACAGTACATGGGGTAGAGTCTAAGAGGCACACCTCCACATGCATCTCATGTAGAAATATACACGAAGGGATTGGGAGAGAGCGAGAAGGCGAGAGAGGGAGAGAGTGAGTGAGGTGAGAGACGGGTTTGCGGGCGTACCATGATCCAGCCCCAAGTGTCAGCATACGATGGCACGTGCGCTGCATAGGGAACCACATCTGCACACAAACGGATAAGAGAAGAACGGACCGGCACACACACAGTCAGATCAACATCCGACACGCACACACACACGGTCAGATAGACATCTGGCACCAGCAGCCGCAGCACAACCCACAACAGCTGCACAGCCAGGATGCAGCAGGTAAGCACCCACACAGCGCCCCCTCCCCTCTCACCTATGCCACAACGACCCGGCCACATAAAACACCTGCCCGCACTCTCCCCTCCCCTCACCACTCCCTTTCCTCCCAACCCCCCAGCAGATTAACAGCACCCTCCACCACTCCCAACTCCCCAGTTACTCTCTCCCCCCCCTCCCCCTCCCCCTCCCCCTCCCCCTGTCCCCCGCCCCCCAGCTCACATTTGAACACCTGGCGCAGCGTATTGTAAATCGGCGTGTACACCTCGCGCGCTGACAGGATCCCGGCGGGCCCCGCCTGCGTGACAAGAATGCCGCCGGGGTTGAGGCGCGGCTTGAGCAGCGTGGTGTAGAAGGACTCGGTGTACAGCTTGTAGCACGGCCCGCCGTCCACCGGGTCCGCCAGGTCGCCTATTATGACGTCGTACCCCTCCTCGTCCGTCCTGCTCCGGAGCTCCTCGCTGGGGGGGGGGGAGGGGAGAGGGGAGAGGGGAGGGGGGTGGGAGCGGGGGAGGAGAGTGAGGGGTGTGTGTGTGGTGTAAGGGTTGGGAAGGAGGGGTTGGGATGTTGGGAGGGCGGCTTTGATTTGACTGGTTGGCGAGTGAGGACCAGTGGCAATGACACAACCCTGGGATCGTGCCTATAAGCAACAGTTGCAATGCCGCAACTTTGTATCGTGCCCGAGAACGATAGGGGCAATAACGCCTGGTTGACGAGGAAGCTACGGCCGGGATTGACGAGCTGGCGGCAGCAGCAAGGTAGGGTTTGTTCAGTTAGGATGTTCCAGCATTTGAACCAAGATAGGAAAGGGTTCTCTGGCTCTGACGCAACAACATCGTGAAGGGCGCGAGTGTGAGTGAGGGCGTGAGTGAGGGTGTGGGTGAGGGTGTGAATGAGGGTGGGAGTGAGAGAGCGTGTGAGGATGGTATGGTAGTGAGGGTGTACATGAGCGAGGTTTTGAGTGAGGGCGTCAGAGCGAGTGCAAACGAGCACACGGCAGCAGTGGTGGCGGCATGGCGACACGCCCCCCTTTACAGGCACAGGAGCCATAAAAGCACCCTCCGCCGCCCCATGAAAGGCTAGCTACGTGGGGCGAAGTGGGGAGGCGGCATCTAGAGGGAGAAAGGGGGGGGGTCCTTTGGGTGGGCGGGCCGGGAAGGGGAGGAGAGAGAGAGCGTGTGTGCGTGTGTGTGTGTGTGTGTGTGTGTGTGTGTGTGTGTGTGTGTGTGTGTGTGTGTGTGTGCATGCGAGTGTGGCCGTGTCAGTGTGTAAGTGTGCGTGTGGGGGGGTCTGTGTGTGGGTGTGGGTGTGTGGGTGTGCGGGAGTGAGCATGCGATGCGAGGATGAGAAGCAGGTGCGTTGGCTTCGCAGGGCGTCGTTGACGATGAGCTTGAGCTGCCTCAAAAGGTGTGCGTGCGAGCATGCGAGCATACGAGCGCAGGGGTGGAGGGGGGTGGGGGGTGGGAGGGGGGAAGGGAGGGGAGGGGAGGGGAGGGGAGGGGAGGGGAGGGGAGGAGGGCCTCACAGGGCGTCGTTGATGATGAGCTTGAGGCGCGGCGAGGCAAAGGTGTCGCGGTTGATGGTGAGGTGGCGCCGACAGAACTCCACCACCTCCTGGCCGCCGCCGCGAGACAGAGAGAGGGAGAGAGAGGAACAGGGAGGGGAGAGGGGCAGATGGGGGAAGAGGGAGGTTTGTTTAGTGATTAAGCGAGATTCGGAAGGAGCGACGCAGGAGAGGGGCAGTGGGGGCAGGAGAGGGGGCAGGAGAGGGGGCAGGTGAGGGGGGCAGGTGAGGGGGGCAGGAGAGGGGGCAGGTGAGGGGGGCAGGTGAGGGGGCAGGAGAGGGGGCAGGTGAGGGGGGCAGGTGAGGGGGCAGGAGAGGGGGCAGGTGAGGGGGGCAGGTGAGGGGGGCAGGAGAGGGGGCAGGTGAGGGGGCTAACGGTACACGCACACGCAGGGGGTTTTCGAGGTGAGGGAAGGAGAAGCAAGGTAGGCACGGGGCTGACGATGGGAATGCGAGGCATGGAGGGAGGGGCGAGCCTGACCTTGTCAATGTCGCACATCTCTAGCGTCTCCACGCTGCTGTGCTTTAGGCACTCGCGCGCTGTCGACCCCTCGCCTCCCCCCATGATGAACACCCGCTTCGGCCTGCCATGCACGCGCGTTCACACACATGCAACCATACGCACCCATGGGCGCGCGCAGACACGGGCAGAGACGGTGATAAGCGCGCCAGCAGATTGTGGGTCTCGGGTGAGCATTGTCACTTGCTGCTTCAAGCATCAACACGCCCAGTCACAGACAGTCACAGTCACAGACAGTCACAGTCACAGTCACAGACAGTCACAGACAGTCACAGACAGTCACAGACAGTCACAGACAGTCACAGTCACAGTCACAGACAGTCACAGACAGTCACAGACAGTCACAGTCACAGTCACAGACAGTCACAGACAGTCACAGACAGTCACAGACAGTCACAGACAGTCACAGACAGTCACAGACAGTCACAGACAGTCACAGACAGTCACAGACAGTCACAGACAGTCACCGACAGTCACAGTCACAGTCACAGTCACAGACAGTCACAGACAGTCACAGACAGTCACAGTCACAGTCACAGTCACAGACAGTCACAGTCACAGTCACAGTCACAGACAGTCACGGACAGTCACAGTCACAGACAGTCAGTCACAGTCACAGTCACAGACAGTCACAGACAGTCACAGACACAGTCACAGTCAGTCACAGACAGTCACAGTCACAGTCACAGTCACAGTCACAGTCACAGTCACAGTCACAGTCACAGTCAGTCAGATAGAATCGCGGCCCACCGCAAGATCCGCCATTAAAGCCTGATCAGCATCCCACTGCTCATGCTCTCAGTCCTACCCCCGCGTTCTCACCACTACCGCCACGCCACGCCCCACAGAACCGCTAAACCCCAAACCCGCGCACAGCCAACGCACGGGGCTCCCTGTAAATGCGCCTGGTTCTTTATTCGCTGGTTTGCGCTAGTTTGTGCTACGGCCCATGCCGTGAATGGATATGGCGGATGCGCGTATGACGCAGGAGCATGCATAAGCCCTCCGCGCGACGACGCGGGGTGTTGCAGGGGGGCGCCGGGAAAGGGTGGGGGGGGGGGGGGGGGGGGGGGGGGGGGGGCAAGAACGAGCCCCGCGAGGGCGGGACATACTGCGGGTGGTAGAGCAGCGCGGGGTGCACGAGCGACTCGTGGTACACGAACTCGTCCGCCTCCGCGCTCTGCAGCTTGCCGTCCAGCACCAGCACCTGCGCACCCCGCGCGCCGAGGGGGGAAACGGGGGAACGAAAGGGGGGAGGGGGAGGGGGCAGGGGGGAGCGGAGGGAAGAGTGAGGTTAGTGAAGGTGGAGGGATAGCAAACGAGAAAACGGGGGGAAATACGAGAATCTGGTTGGGGTTGGGGGGGGCGAGCGCATTGCACGAGAGCGGAGTGGGTGATTGTCGGGATGCGGCGAGAAGAGGAGCAGGCGGAAGAGGCGAGCACCATATAAAGGACGAGGAATATGAGAGAAAGGGGCGGTATGGAGGAAGAAGAAACGTGACGGGAGGGAGACGAAAGCACAAGGGCAATGTGGGCAGAGATCAAGGAAACAGCCCATAAGACAGCATTCGACAGCATGAGACAGCTTTCTGACCGTGAACGTTGAGCTTACTGCACCATGTCCATATGGGGGCTGGACTGTACCTTGCCGAAGGGGCCGCTCTCCAGGAGCTCGATGTCTTGAAACTCGCTCACTCCCGTGTGGAGAATGCTGCACACGGAACCACGGCGGACAAGGACTTACGGGGGGTAAGGACTCATGGGGGATACGCGAGCTGAGGGACGCAACGGTGGACAGCGGGACGGAGCGGAACGGGAAGAAAGTGCATGTCACCGACGAAAGGAACGGAGCACGACAGTGCAGTGCATTAGGGCGTGATGGAGCAGGGACGCTGGAACAGTAACGGGTTGTCTGGCCAAGGCAGAGTCGACGATGCCCTAATGCAGGTCCGTGCGAGGCTGGAGAGGCTAGCGAAATGACGGGCCACCAGGGATGAAGGCGCCGTCGACACTCGAAGTGCAGAAACTCGTCTTCTCAATAAACCCAACCCCGAGGCTGTTCTGAATAATGTTATCATCAACTATCTGACGTTGACCAGATGACGTGCATTGCACGCCACGGAGCGGGACACGTACTTAGTGACGCCGAAGACCCATCTGAGATTCTCCTCGATCTCCTCCTCGAACCACATGCGCACGCGCCCCGACCCCGCCGGGCCGCCTCGCTTGCACACCGACTCGCACCGCTGCTCGCACTGACAGTCGCACATTCCGCCTGTGTCGCCCACGGCAGCCATTTTGACGGGCAATTGCGTGCGAAACCGTTAACCCAGGTCCGACCTCGTCTGGTCGGCGACGTCGATACTAATTAGTGCCGGAACCAGCTTGGACGGACGAAAGTGAGAGGAGAGCTGGAATCGATGGGAACTTGGGGAGGGCAAAAATAGATTGGGGAGAGGGAAAGAGAAAGAGAGAGAAGGGGTAGCGATGAAGTACCTGATGAACTCGAGGTTGGGGATGAGGAGGTGAGGAAGGGGATGTGGGCAGCGGGGTTTTGGAGGAAGAGGTGGGGGAGGCGGAGGTGGTGGGGGGAAAGCACGGACCTGTGAAGTCCGAGTGTGTGGCAGCTAGCTTTTTGGGAGCTTATTAGTGAATCACGGGCAGCATAATTCGGCTAAAAGGTCTATCACAAAATCCAGGAGCAGGACGATTTTCTGCAACTACGGACAGTATCGCACGACAAAGGCTCAAAACCGTTGTAAACAAGTAAGGTGGTAGGTTGCATTGACTGACCACATTATTCTACATCCGAGTGCGGTCAGGTTGGGGGAACCGGGGAGGGAAGGAACGTGGAACTGAAAGCACAACCACACATGCTCAGAAAGCTGGTGGTGCGGCACCGCGCTGCTTGACGAAAGTCTCTTGAATGCTCAAACTCCAGATGGCGGAAAATGAATAGCTGATCGCCACGTGGACATGGTACACGTGTAGGAAGAACTTGGGTCACACACAACTTTGGCGGCTATTGAAACCCCAACTTCTGGGAGGAAGCTGATTGTTACAAATTAAACGAGAGTGTAAGGAATTAACATTCCTTAGTGCGCTAAACTACAGCGCATACACCCGAAGACCTCGAACTCGCAGGTTCGGCCTTTATTTTCGGCCCAAACCTCTCCGAGTCGCGTTACGACACCCTCCACACCCAACCAAACCATTCACGTCCCGAGGTCCTCGCCCTAGCCCGTCCTAGCACGTCCGTGCCCTATTTTAGCCAGTTCGCTCGTCATTTGTAGACACATTCATTTTCCGAGGTTGTATTCCCATTATTGAGCGGTTGTTCCATTCCCACTCATAACATCTGGTATTCAGAGTATCAAAGTTAACGAATGACTAGAACCATGGCATACAAGGGAATATAATTTAGTACGTTATACTCACTAAGGCACAACCCTGTATAGTCTATAACAATTTACAATGATATGTTTGACACACCCCTTAGACTGGATAGGGGCAGTGCCTGGTGAGAGACAAGCAGCTCATGGTGGCACTACTAGTCCAGCCTCAATGCAGGCAATGCGCCAGGTAGCGTCTAGCGTGCGCAAGTGGGCGGCCAGGCCAGCGACAGTGGAGATTGACACTAGATCAGGAAAGAGCATGGGCAAGATCAGGCGACCGACGGAGGCAGAGGCGGGGTGGAATAGCGCGCGACAACAGCCTTTGGGAACTCATGCGCAGTCCTGACCAACCTAAAGCGGGGGCGCTCTGATAGGGGGAGGGCATGACTAATCGCAAGCTGTGCGACAGCGTCACGCGACAACCAGACAGCACCGGCAAGGGCAGCAGCGGCAGCAGAATCACGGTCAACAGACGTGGGGTCCGCGGGTAGAGCAGCAGGGGGGTCAGGGCAGGGGAGCGTACCATCGATGTGGACGGCTAGGGAGTGGCCGTCCTGCCGCTGACTGGTGAGGTGATGGCGGAGGTCGACGGGCCACGTGTCGAACTCAACCGGCTGACCCTCCGCGTCAAAGCGCAGCACCGAGTCCGCCATCATGGTCGCTGTAGCAGCAGAAATGCGGTAGTGGGCTGTACTAAGCGACAGAGTGCGGTGGGAAGCTGTGGTGTGCAGTGCAGTGCGGTAGACTGCGGTAGAGTGAAGTGCAGTACGGTAGGGTGCGGTGCAGTGCGGTTCAGGGCGTGGAGTGCGGTGGAAAGGGCCCATGAAGCTAGGCGGGAGCCGAGGGGGCATCTGAGGGACGGGGCCGCGAGTAGGCTGGGCGGCGAGGCCGCGGGGCGGCTGGTCAACAGGGGCCGCGAGGCGGCTGGAAGACGGGGCCTCGTGGCGGTTGGGAGACGGGGCCGCGGGCGGCGAGGCGACGGGGCCAGCTAGGCGACGGGGCCGGCTGGGCGACGGGACCGGCAGGGCGACGGGACCGGCAGGGCGACGGGGCCGGCAAGGCGACGGGGCCGACTGGGCGACGGGGCCGGCAGGGCGACAGGGCCGGCTAGGCGACGGGGCCGGATAGGCGACGGGGCTGGCTAGGCGACAGGGCCGGCCGGGCGACGGGGCCGGCTAGGCGACGGGGCCGGCTAGGCGACGAGGCCGGCTGGGCTACGGGGCCGGCTGGGCTACGGGGCCGGCTGGGCTACGGGGCCGGCTGGGCGACGGGGCCGGCTAGGCGACAGGGCCGGCTGGGCTACGGGGCCGGCTAGGCGACGGGCGGGGCTTTAGCAGCGGTGCACGGGAGTGTGCCTCCCCATATGGCACGCTGGCTGCATGCGGGCATGCTGGCCAGCGCTAAGACCGGGCGCTGGCCGCTACCGTCCGTGCCGTCTGCGCGCTGGCACCTAGATGCCGCCACGGCAGCATGACGTGGCCGTGGTGGCAGCGTGGAAAGGACAGGAGGGAGGAGCGGACTTTGCGAAAGCGTGATAAGCAGGCCCAGGAAGAGTAACCTGCTCTGAAACCATGTTAAACATAGCTAAGTAGGAGGAGGAGCCATAGAAATGGCGTGAGGTTTTAGGCTGGGGAAAATGTCGAGTGAGAGGAGAGGTTTGGAATAAAAGAGAGAGGGATACACGAAAGGGGATTGTACCCTCTACAGTAGGATCCGACAATACCTACCAAGCCTACCATTATATATATCAAATATATAATTTAACAAAAACGACTTCTGTGAACCTCGCCAGGCGCACAAGGAATGTGCATCAGGAATTATTTTGACAAGGAGAGACGACACGTGCCAGCTGCCTGAATTATGCGGGAGTGGTGTGTTGTCCCTTCCGGACGGGAGCATATTGCTGCCAGGTGGGCGCGTCATCATAATTTCCGGCAGGAGCGACACGCTGTGAGATGGCGTGTGTCGTTAACTTCCAAAAAGTTCGGACTTTGCCACCTTCGTGTCAACTGTTTCTGCAGTATTGGCGGCAGCTGTTCCTGGCACCCGATAAAATCGGCACCGACAAATGCGGATGTCTTGGACGATCTTCACGACAAGCTGATTTCCCAGAAAACAACAATGACGTTTGCGTTTTTCTTAGGGAAACAGCCTTGGAGACAGGCCAACGCCCTACGAAACGTCTCTGGTGCATCGTTTAGTGCCCGCGATTTTTGGGGGTTTCTACTAGTAAAACGTATGGAGATGCGACAGACCGAGTTTGACGAGAGGGGAAGTTCGACACTTCGGGAAGAGCAGGGCAGCGTAGCGGAAATCTCACATCTTCTACACCAGGTTCCAAGTTCGGGTTTAATACTACTCCGACGGCCTTGGACGAATAACGTGGATAGAGCTGCGGTTAACCAGTGCTGGTTAAAATGCGGGAGTACCGCGGGTTCGACGACTGAAAGAAAGGAGTTGTGCGCCAGACGCACGTGCGTTTCTGTTGCGACCGGCAAAAGCAGGGAGTTGGGTGAACGACGACCTCCCGACATGGCCGGGGCAGTTGCGACAACACTGCTCCACCTGGAGTTCGACACTGTTTCATAAGTTTTCGGAGTGCGGCGGAGCTTTCCGGAGTCGTCCCTAGTTAATGGGGCTACTTGTCAAGGCGCGAAAGCCTATGACCTGTTTTGGTGTTATGGCAGGCGCAATGATGGGTGAACGTTGGCGCGCTGCTCAACGCCCGGTGCCAGACGGAGAATTCTTCGAAAACGAGCGGCGCAGCTACTAAGCACTAGCGGTTTGGGGGTCCCTGAGTAGCAGTGAACCGGAGTGGCGGAATTTGCTAAGTTCCATGAGAGTTCCGACATTCTCGCTTGAAGAATAGAGGAGCAGGTTCTATAGCTGGAGTTGTACCCATTATCTCCAGGGGTACGAGCAACTTCGTCCGAAATTTACCGGCTCGGTTGGTCCCTTGGAGGGGGACGAGAGTGGCGGCTGTTTTGGCCCTTGCCGAAAATTTTGGCGTGTATGGCCAAAAAGCTGATGCAGCTGGAGTTATTCGACCTTGGGGTCGGCTCGAGGTGTTCACTGGAGTATTCTAATATAGGTTACCTGCAGCACAATTTTCCTTTGGAGTAGTTTAGGAGTTCTACGGGTTGGATTTTTTCAAGCATCTCCACTGCAGAGTTGCTGGATTTTTAAGCAGCAGTGTGGGTTTACTTCGACTACCCTGGCGCATAGAATTTCCTTGCGTTTTACTTGGCTCGTTGGGAGCTGTTTCTTCTTGGAGGGGGGGAGAAGTGCAGCTGTGTTGCAAACTTTTGAAGATCCTTCCGGTGTGTTCCACCATCCCTCTCCATTTCATTATTACAAGATTTCATCAGCCACGCGCCATCATCAACAGCCAGATTGAATGTTTACAATTTTAAGATGAGTTTTTGCGAGTACCCATTCGGTCAGCTGAAGAATTCAACAATCTTCGACAACCAGGATTAAAAGCGATCGTTTCGACGTTTTCTGACAATCGATCACATTTCGGCCTGAAGACCTCGTCAGGATGGCGTAATCATTACGCTCGTCACTGTGTTGAAGACCTACAATCATATCGGGGATTACTTTAAATTATTCGACCTTCGATATACGGAAGGCCTTTTCTAGAAGGTGGGAGAGTGTAAGGAATTAACATTTACTACGCTAAACTACAGCGCGTACACCCGAAGACCTCGAACTCGCAGGTTCGGCCATTATTTACAGCCCAAACCTCTCCGAGTCGCGTTCCGACACCCTCCACACCCAACCAAACCATTCACGTTCCGAGGTCCTCGCCCTAGCCCGTCCTAGCACGTCCTTGCCCTATTTAAGCCAGTTCGCTCGTCACTTGTAGACACATTCATTTTCTGAGGTTGTATTCCCATTATTGAGCGGTTGTTCCATTCCCACTCATAACAGAGAGTACTAGTGTACACTCATGGCACAACTGAAGAGCCTCCTTATGACAAAGTAGTAATGACCATTTTGTAGATATTCATGGTTCACCATGGTTTGGCATTGAGCTTGGTTAATCACTGTATCGAAACGCTTGGTTGTAAATTATTTCTGAGCTTGCGCTCTTCATAACACACATTATATCGACTACAATGCCACATATATCAGTACCCTCACAGCACACAAAGCTTTGGATCTTGGTGGCATGGAGAAGCTTTTCTGTCGGGCGAGCTAGCTGTGTCACAGGGTTGTCGCCTGTCCAATCAGAAAACCCCCTGCCAATCCCCTCCCCCTCCCCCCTCCCCCTCTCGCCCCAACTGGGTTACCCAGTTTGTTTTTTGCATCGGCTGGCTGGTTTTGTTGAAGTATATTCGACATAGTTCACTTTCTCAGAGTAATAAGTTTTACTAGAATCGAGGGTACAGTGTCACAGGATCGAATGTGTCGAGGAAAAGTTGCACTATCGATACAAGGCGATTTTATATTTCCAAAGTACATCATGTAACCCGGTTTATCCTATCCAAAGGGAATAGACCCTTCTAGTAATAGAATCACCCTGCGTATAGCCACGCGATGCTATTGGCTTAAAGGGATTACGGCAGGATTACGCTAGATATAGCGCGCCAGTACATCCCAAGCTTGGTCGGTGATATAACCATAATTATAGGATAAACCAAAGGATAATGGAAAAGGAGGAATAGGAAACCAAATGAGATGAGAGAAAAAGAGAAATGAAATAGAAAGGAGATATGGGAAGGGAAATTGGTCTAACGGGGTCGTACTCTCACACATCCCCCCCTCAAAGCTGGGTGGTAGAAGTAACACCCTGCTTGACAAGGTATTCACGAAGAGGACGACGAGCGTTACCCATCTCGGATTCAAGAACCCAAGTATCCTCAGAAGGATCATAACCCTTCCAACGAATGAGAAGCTCCACGGTGCCATTCCGACGACGGCGGTGTGCGAGCACGGACTCGACCTCATACTCGGGTTCATCGTGGACGAGGACGGGCGGCGGCGGTGGGGGTTGGCGTCCGGTGAAGACCGTGTTAGGGTCTCGATAGGGCTTCAAAAGTTGAACATGGAAGGCGTTGTGAATCTTCCAGGTAGCTGGCAGGCGTAAGCGGAAGGCAACAGGAGTGACCTGTGCTGCAACGAGAAAGGGCCCGCGTGGCCAACGGGCGAGCGTGGGGCCAGCGGCGAGCGTAGGGCCAGCGGGAGAGCATGGGGCCAGCGGCGCGTGCAAGGGCCAGCAGCTAGTGTGGGGCCAGCGGGCGAGCAAGGGGCCAGCGGGGAGCGTGGGCCAGCGGGCGAGCATGGGGCCAGCGGCGAGTGTGGGGCCAGGGCGGGCAGCTAGCGACGGGGGCCAGCAGCAGGCGGCTAGTGACGGGCGGCTAGCGACCGCGGCTAGTGACGGGCGGCTAGCGACGGGCGGCTGGCAACGGGCGGCTAGTGACGGGTGGCTAGCGACGAGCGGCTAGGGATAGGGCTAACCTAGCGTGATACCATCTCAGAGTAATAGGTTTTACAAGAATCGAGGGCACAAGGTAGTTTTGTGCTAGTATTAATATGCTCTCTAAGAGCATTCACCTATCTAGCCTATGATAACATATGTATATATGTTTGACACACTTATGCATTCATAATATAACACTTATACTGTACTAGTAGCGCGTTACCTCATATGGAAGGACACGCGAGATGATGTCAGCAGTAGCGAGTCAACGCGTGAACAGTAGGTTCATACGTTTAGACACCCAAAGGGTTACGCCACTCTCAATCACACGAACAATCACTAGTTATGTTACGTGAATAGTCGCGATACACTACGAATAGGTACATCACGAATAGATACTTCCTAGACTATAAATATGGATGTGTTGCTCATTATTGTTATCCTTGTCAGTTCTGACATTTCCAATGCAAGGTGTAAAATATTTCGCTGACTTTCTACTCTTGTTTCCACCAACTCTAGATCCTGTCCACCCTAAACACGTGATTCAGTTCAACAGAACTTGCCACTCGGAAGGTTCCAAACAATTTGAACCCTGAAGTTATTATGTGTGCTCGTTTTAATATTGTTTACCCTTGAAGCGATCCAATATGGTCTGTAGGGTGTTCAGGATTGAACTGCAGTAGTGCGCTTTGCGGAAGCGGTTGATTGGTCGATGAACCTTGTTAGAGTGAATGTAACATAACAGTGTTGATTATAGCAAGAGGATAGAAGGTTCATGTAGTGATACAGGAGAATGCGAAGGGTCTAACTAAGATGCACTTTACAGGGGTACATTGTTAAATTATATATTTGATATATATAATGGTGGGCTTGGTAGGTGTTACTGGATCCTACTATAGAGGGTACAACCCCCCTTCTTGTATCCCTCTCTCTTCTTTTCAAAGTCCTCTTTTCTCTCGACATTTTCTCCTAGCCTAAACCCTTACGCCATTCCATGGCTTCTCTTCTTAGCTAGCTACTTTGACATGGTTTCAGAGCAGGTTGCATTTCCTTGGCCTGCTTATCACACTTCCGCCGCGCACTCCTCCTCTCCCTCTCACGCTGCCATGGCGGCCGCGTCGTGCTGCTGTGGCGGCGTCGTCGTGTGGCTGGCCGTGTCGTGCTGCCGCGGCCGTCTCGACGCGCTGCCGTGGTGCCGCTCTATCGTGGCGTCGACGTCAAGCCATGGTGGCGTCGTTGACGTCAAGCCGTGGAGGCCTGACGGCGCCGTCGTGCTGCTGTGGCGACGTGCTGCCAGCGCGCGTACGGCATGGACCGCAGTGGCCAACGCCCCGTCTTAGCGCTGGCCAGCACGCCCGCATGCAGCCAGCGCGCCACACGGGGCGGCACGCTCTCGGGCTCCACTGCTGAAGCCCTGCCCGCGTCCCCTCTTCCTCGCCGCAGCCGACGGCTGACTCGCGCCGGCCGTCCCACCATCGCGGAGCCCGGCCACACCGCCAAGTGCTGCGAGCTCCACCACCGCCGGCAGCTGTCGTTGAAGCCGCCGCCGCCGCAACTGGTGCCGCTGGCCACGCCGCCGCACGCCGCCGCCGCCAACGACGCTGCCGCCGTCACCGCCGTTGCAGCCGCTGCCCTCGCTGTCGACGTCGCCGCCTCATGTGCCGAGGGGCTGACCCTGCTGGAGTAGCTGTCGCTACTGCTGAGTATGGGGGTGCTAGGCTTAGGGGTGTGGCTTAGTGCGCTGTGTGTGTGGTGGGCTTTCAGCTACCAAGCCTAAGGGGTGTGTTAAATTATATATTTGATATATATAATGGTAGGCTTGGTAGATGTTACTGGATCATGCTGTAGAGGGTACAACCCCCCTTCTTGTATCCCTCTCTCTTCTTTTCAAAGTCCTCTTTTCTCTCGACATTTTCTCCTAGCCTAAACCCTCACGCCATTTCATGGCTTCTCTTCCTAGCTAGCTACTTTGATATACATTCCCTATGCGGTTTCTAGATCCGACTTGGGTAACTGCACACGACTCGGGTAACTGCCTGCGCTATATTACAGGGTCAGTTATGTGTCCTTACTATCGTGACGGATCCTTGCTTCTGTCGTTTCGACTATCGGTCAACGGTCAACGACCGTTGCACTTCGTACATCGCGTCATAGGCTTGGACTCGACAAGGGTTACGGCTTGAGTGTCACTTTCAGGAATGTAACAATTTCCTTATCGCAACGACCCTAAATGACATCGACAACATGAAGCTAGGTATAAAGGACAAGCCTCGACGCAAATTGTTGGGTGGGTTGCGAATGTATCTAAGATGCATACATAGAAATGCGTCCTTTTTTTATCCCTAGTTTTAATCTGGGATGTTTACTAGAACAAATGTGAGTGAAATCGCCAAAAGAACGTGATTTGGTCAGATGATATAAATGGAAAATTATAATAATGATGAAATTTTAAAACCAATCAATACTAAAGAAACATCCCAATGCTCTTTATAGTAGTGTTTTATGTAGTGGAGTTATGTTACGCATTATATGCTCTGATTTTGAAATGTCAGGTCGGTAACAGTGCTGACTTGCAATTTGTTAGCAATCTGAGAGAACACGCCCCTGCTAAGGTTTGTTTGGGTGATTCTTGCAAAAGTTGTACTTGTTCTTGCTCCTGCCACACTCGTACTGTCAACATGCCTAGTCCTAAGTCTTTCTGCTTGGAACTATTTGTCCGAATGTAGCCTTTGTATATCTTTTGAGATATGAGTTAGATCCAATGTACTGTTTTGGATATTTGTGCTATGAACACATCCACTATGTGCCCCTCCCAAATCGTACCACCATTAAACATTAAGGCTTAATTTATAGTAGTCTTAAGCCTAAAAACCCAAATTAATGCAAAACATACGGACAATTGTTCCCGCCACTATAGTTCTTGCCCCTAGGCTAGACTACTTGCCGCTGGTCATATTGCTGGTGCCCATCCCGTAATCGCGCAGGCGCACTGACGCCGCTCTCATTGGCGCGTCTCGCGGTGGCGCTCCGAGCATTGGCGCATTTCGCGCTGGGCGCTGGCGCGTTTCGCGCATTGCGCTAGCGCCCCCTGCGCGCTGGAGCGTTTCGCGCGTTGCGCTGACACCCTCTATGCGCTAGTGCCTTACGCGCTTGCGTGTTATGCGCTGGTGCCCTTCGCGCTAGCGCGTTTCGCGCTGATGCCCTGAGCGTTGGTGCGTTTGGCATTGGCGCGTTTTGTGCTGGCGCCCTGCGCGCTGGCGCGTTTCGCGCTGGCGCCCTGCAAGTCGGCGCCTTGCGCGATGGCACGTGCTGAAGCCTTGCGCGTAGGTGGCTGGCGCCATGTCGCTTGGGCCGTATGTGTGCGTGGCGCCATGCGAACATGATGTGCGTGGCGTAGTTGCTGTGATGGGGGGAGGAGGACGTACAGGGAGGGAGGAAGAAGGATGCGTACGACGTTACTGCATGTGAGAGACGCCACAGCTAGGTGCACCTACCTCCTCTCTTTCTTGCCCATTTGTTTGCGTTTGTATTCTCTTTCCTACTTTTCGTTGACTCTTGTTCCAAGGTGATTTTTTACTCGACTAAAAAAACTCCAACCTTTCTTCGACTCTTGTTCCATACATTTCAGTTCAATCTCATTCCCCTTCCACAACATCGCATTCTCATAACATTTTTTTTGCTTTCATCATCCTCACTTTGTCTCGATCTCTTTCTTATTTCCAATTATTTTTATTATGCCTGAACCTAGCAACTACGCCAAGCCATAATTAGCATATACACCTAGCAATTACACCTAGCCACTAGCACCTACACTGTTTTGGCCTGGCTGTTGCGAGGCATCTACATGCCTCACCCCTATATTTGCTTCTCCTCTACACTCGTTTCTTCACTCCACTTGCTCTTCCCCTGCACTTTCTCTTCCCCTGCACTTGCTGTTCCCCTGCACTTGCTTCTCACTGCACTTGCTTCTCACTGCACTTGCTTCTCACTGCACTTGCTTCATACTGTACTTGCTTCTCACTGCACTTCCTTCTCACTGCACTTGCTTCTCATTGTACTCGCTCTCTCCTACACTAACCTCTCCCCTTCGCTGCGCTGCGTGCTCTTCACTAGTCGTTGCACTTCCCCCATCTCCAGCACAGTCGGAACACTAGACACCCTTTTAATAGCCGTTTGAATAATAGTCGTTCTCAAACTAGTCATATGCACTCTAGCTATTTACGCAATAACCGCATGTGCACTAGCCACCCCCTTATTTGTAAGCAAATCGGTGTGCGCATCGTGCACTTTTCGCGTAAGTTACGGGTGTTAAAACGAATACGATTACGAGTATGAGTACTTTAGGCGAGTAATAGGCGAATATTTGGGGAAAAGAAAAATACTTGGAGTCTATAAGGTACGAATCCGAGTCGAATAGTTTTGAATAAGAGTCGAATATGAATCGTATTCGAGTATCTTGTCATGCTGCATGTTTTGCATATGCGCATTGAGTATGGGGCGCATATTCAGACCATGATGATGCACGGTCAACTCTTCATGTGGGTAGCGATGACCACATGTGTAAATGGTGTGTATGAGACGCCATGGTGTCCTACCACGATACCTCTTTCCAGTCCGCCCTCACCTGTCCCCGCCACATTGGCCACCACACCGTTGCATGCTAGGTGTGATTTTGCCTCACCCATCTGAAGTTCATATCCCGATGAAATTGGATAGGTCTTTTTTCATGCTTTCACAGCCTTTCCTCCGTGAATGGCCATGCATGAAAGTACTATTCGAATAGTTGACTACTCGTCAAATAGTCCTCTCAAGTATTTGCCGAATCCGGGTATTTGACGGTCGAATAGTGTCGACTACCTGGATGGTATTCTACTCGCCAAATACCCCATAAACGATTCAAATACGAATACTATTCGAATATCGTGGTATTCATATTCACCCTTACGCATAACCCTTCCTATTTCCATCTTATGTTTTTGTTCAAGTTTTGATATAGGTGATTGGACCCTTCTCTTTCCTCCCCTCTTTTCTTTCATCTCTCTCCTCTTTCCCGTTCGCTTTCCTATGTTTTTACCTCTTCTTCTCCTTCAATTTTCCTTTCTTTCTCTTCACTCTTATCGTTTTCGTCCTTTCCTTCGCCTCTTCACCCCATTGCTTCCTCTTTGCACAAAGGAACTCCTTTGCCATATATCCTCCTCTCTTCTTAGGCCCTCCTTTCTCTTTGTAACCATCTATGCATTTCCCCCAATCAATTTGTACCATATAGCCTTCATGCCTGGTTTCTTACACTCATTTTTTGCAATAATTATTTGTTTGAACCTTCATGTTCAGGCTTTGTTTCAACAATTCTTTTTTTCAACATCTACGTGCGCTGCCACATTAGAGGGCGGGGAGAGGAAGTGGGGGGGGGAAGAGGGTGAGGGGGTTTGTGGGGGGGCACATGTTGGATTTGAAAGGGGAGGGAGGGAAGGAGAAGTGGAGCCAGGGAGGAGGGGAGGAGGGAGGGAGGAACAGGGTAAAAAAAGGGGGGGGGGGGGGGGGGGGGGGGGGAGGGTAGGAGGGAGGGTCAATGCATTAGCTTGGTCAGCAATACTGATAAGTATATAAACTTATTCTATCTGTTGGCTGATTTGCTAAACGATGCATTGCTTGTGTGCTCTCTAAACATGTATGCATCCAACACGTATGATTCTCTTCGTTTTTTTTCATGCATGCTTTTGTTGTGTCTGTTCGATGCTGTTATTCTTCTTCTTGCATACTACGTGGGGTTCTGTTTGTCCATTGTTGTGTGGGATTTCGATATTAACAAATCTCTATTTGTATTGGAGTGATGTGTTTGAAAGTTTTGGCTTGAAGAATAGATTCGATGTATATTGTGATTTGTGATACCTCATGTGTGTTGGCACGCCGTTGGCGCACTCTGCTGCAATTTGTCGGGTACACATGCGACGTTTTGGTGTGTGTGCATCGGGGCATGATGCATATATGCGAAGTGCCACACGTAGCTCGAGATTGTCGTTGTCAATTCGGCCGCTTTGCTCCCAAAGTGTACATGTCAATCTCGGTTGCAGCATAGAAGCATTTGTGCATCCTCCTTGTTGCATGCATTATTGCCTCTTGTGTGATTCCTCGTGTGTGTTGGCACTCTGTTGGCACACTCCGTTGCAATTTGTTAGGTGCACATGTGCCATTTTGGTGTGCGTGCATCAGGGCGGGGTGCGTATATGCCAAATGCTATACGCAGCTCGAGACTGTCGTTGTCAATTTGGCAGCTTTGCTCCCAAAGTGTACATATCAATCTCGGCTGCAGCATACAAGCATTCGTGCATCCTCCTTGTTGCATGCGTAATTGCCTCTTGTGTGATTCCTCGTGCTTGTTGGCACTCTGTTAGTGCACTCCGTTGCAATTTGTCGGGTGCACATGTGCCATTTTGGTGTGCGTACATCAGGGCGGGGTGCATATATGCCGAGAGCTACACGCAGCTCGAGATTATCGTTGTCGATTTGGCACATTTGCTCCCAATGTGTACATGTCAATCTCGGCTGCAGCATAAAAGCATTTGCGCATCCTCCTTGTTGCATTCATTACTGCCTCTTGTGTGATTCCTCGTGTGTGTTGGCACTCTGTTGGCGCACTCCATTGCAATTTGTCGGGTGCACATGTGCCGTTTTGGTGTGCGTGCATCAGGGTGGGGTGCATATATGCCGAGTGCTACACGCAGCTCGAGATTATCGTTGTCGATTTGGCACCTTTGCTCCCAAGGTGTACATGTCGATCTCGGCTGCAGCATAAAGGCATTTGCGCATCCTCCTTGTTGCATTCATCACTGCCTCTTGTGTGATTCCTCGTGTGTGTTGGCACTCTGTTGGTGCACTCCGTTGCAATTTGTCCGGTGCACATGTGCCGTTTTGGTGTGCGTGCATCAGGGCGGGATGCATATATGTCAAGTGCTATCCGCAACTCGAGATTGTCGTTGTCAATTTGGCAACTTTGCTCCCAAAGTGTACATGTCAATCTCGGCTGCAGCATGGAAACATTTGCGCATCCTCCTTGTTGCATGCATCACTGCCTCTTGTTCGATTCCTCATGTGTGTTGGCACTCTGTTGGCGCACTCCGTTGTAATTTGTCCGGTGCACATGTGCCGTTTTGGTGTGCGTGCACCGGGGCGGGGTCGTGCATGCCAAGTGCTACGGGCAAATCGAGATTGTCGTTGTCGATTTGGCAGCTTTGCTCCTGGAGTGTACATGTCAATCTCGACCGCTGCTGCACGGAAGCATTCGTGTATCCTCGTTGATGCATCCATTACTGCATTGGTTGTCAGTGTCCTGTGCAATTCCCCGTGTGCGTTTGTACGACGTGGGCGCACTCTGTTGCAATTTGTCGTAGAACACATGTGCCAAGTGGTGTGCTTGTATCAGAGCGGGGAGCATGCTCGATGTGTTTTGTAGGTTATATGCGTGCTTGTTGTTTTTATGCGAGACGTACTATTCATTTAGTATTGGTCGTTTCTAATGTTGTCGGAAACTGCTTGTGTCACCCTTATTTTGCATCGCCGTAATATCGGCGATGGAAAAGTAGGAAGCATGAATGTTTATGACAACTTTCGTGAAGTTGTTGGCGATTATTATGCGATGCACCTTCGTTTCGAGCGTGTATGAACTCTTTTATTCTTCAATCTAATTTGGTGGTGGAATAATTGTGTACGAAATCGACATACACGGACGCATGTGCCGGCCGATATTTTGTTTATCAATCTTACTGAATATCGACACAGGAGTTACAGATGTGGTTTTCTACCAATGTTTGTGCCAGAAAAAATGGATACCAATTCTATAGGGTTGCTACGAAACCCAAAAACCCCATGCCTAGCCCATAACTAAGAGCACTCTAGTTCCTGGCATACGTGTTTTCATTACACCCCATAATTTATCCAGTCTGATCCACTCAACCCAGATCGAACCTCACAGCATGCTCTGACGTGGAAAGGCGAACCCCAAACCTAGCCTTGGTAGAAACACTGAGCTGAGCTGGACCAGCCACAGACTAAACCCCAGACCAATCAATCGCTTTTGGTCCCAGCCATACTGGCTGGCTTGGAAAAGCCGAGCCAGACTTACCTCCCTGGAGAACCCCCTGTGCCTCGGGCAGGTCTGGCCAGACCGAGCTTGCCACGTCATCATGTGTGCTGCCCTGATCGGATCATTGGAGCAGAACAGAACCACCCCACGCAATCAGAAGTGGCAGTCTGATCCCTCGGGAGTATACTGATCGTGCATGAGCCATTGAGCTGTTGATCTGTCCTTGATCGTCGAGTCCTAGACCGACCTCGTTAGAGTCGCATCGCGTCGCTAGGATCTTCGATCCTCAGCTCTTCCTGACTGACCGCAGTCACCGCTCCTCTGAAATCGCCACCTCGTTGCCGTCGCGACTGCTCCTTGCCAGCCGGCTAGTCGCTCTCGTCTAGTAGTCGCGTCGCGGTCCGTCAGTCGCTGCCTGCTTCCAGGCAGCCATGGTGTCCGCGCTCGTCTCCTCCCACCCTTGCCGCCCAGCCATATGCAGCGCCAGCTGTCACCCCGTTGACACGTGCGACGCGGTTTCTCAAACCAGGCCATCGTCGCCAGCCTCCTGGTCAGCGGCGCCACTTGGCAGCAGCCGATTGGTTCTGCGAAAATCCAACTTGCCGTTTGGCAAAGGCGCTGGCGAACGATCTATTCCGGCCCGATCCTTGTCGCAACGCGCGCGATCGTCCCTTTCTTCTCCAGGTAACGTGCTGGTCGACTAAATATTGACATCCTGTCAAGCCTGTGAAATGTGGTTCGGTTTCGGGTCACAGATGCAAGCGGAATGCCGGCGATTAACTGGTTCGATCAACAGAGACATCACCTGGAAACGATTTCAGTAGGCTTTCCCCCGGGCGTCGCGGGGGGACTTGGTCGGTCAACGTCAGCGAGCTGCTGCCTCTGGTCGATCAACGTCGCGCGATTCCCACTCGCTGCTCGATTGTCGCCGATCCCCATCCCCTTTTTCATCCCTTTTTCGGCTTGATTCAGGCCAACCAAGACGGCAGCCGTTTGCCAGCAGTAGCAGCGGCAGCGGCGGCAGTATGAGCGAGCCCCTCTCAAGCCCGCTGATCGCGGCCGCCAGCAGCAGCGGTGGCGTTGCTGGCCCGTCCAGTGCCGATACCACAGCCGCGCTAACCGGGAGGAATGGGGGGAACGGCGGGGCGCGCGCGCTGCAGATAGCGGCGGTGGCGGCAGCCGCGGTGGTGGCGGCGGCGGTGGGAGCGACGGCGTGGGCGGGCGGGCCGTCCAGCATCATATCCGTGTTCGCCAAGTCGGGGTTCACTGCCGCTTTCTCCCTCATCTTCGTGTCCGAGATCGGCGATAAGGTGAGAGCAGCAGCAGGAGCATTGAGTGCGCTTCAAGGTGAACTTATCTTCTGTGTTCGGCTGGACCGCATTGCTCCAATGCATCCCCGTTCCTTCATGAGAATGCATCTTACCGACTTATCCCTTGCTCCAACTCTCCCCCTCTCCCACCTCCCCCCCACACCTCCCCCCCACACCTCCCCCCCCTCTTCCCCATGCTCCTCTTTTTACCAACTTCTCCCGACCTCTCCTATCCGCTTTGCTCCGCTTCCCTCCCCCATTTTCCTTACCCCCCTGTTCCTGCGTGCGTGCGTGCCTGCCTGCCCTTCCATGCGCCACTGCAGACGTTCTTCATCGCGGCGCTGCTGGCAATGCGCCACTCCAAGCTGCTCGTGAGTTGCTTGCTTGGGCCCTGCCCCCCTCTCCCCTCACCTCCTCTCCTCGAATTTCCGCCTCGTCGTCCGCCTCCTTCCTCTCCCCGTTAGCAGCACGGCATTCGATTGCGCATTTGTCGCCTCTGCTCTTGCAATTCCCGTCCGCACTTTCAGCCTTATCCCTTTCATCCGCCTACTTCCCTCTCACCCATCTTCCTCTACCTCCTTCTCTCGTAAGTGTAACTAGGCCCCTTGCCGTTGTCACCACCACTGGTCATTACTCTCTGCCCTTTCCAGCCTGCAGCGGCGCATGAGAGCGCGCCTTGTGTGTTCCCCCACCCTCGCCGCTTCCCTCAAGGCGCATGTTTCTCATCTCTTTCTCCTCGTCTCCGCCCCGCCCTCCGCTCCGCCTCCCCTTCACCCTCCCCTGCGCCTCCTCCACCAGGTGCTGTGCGGAGCAGTGTCAGCACTGCCATCATGTCCGCCAACTTCCTCCCCACTCCCCCTTTCGTAAGCCCTCTTCTCCCCCCCCCCCCCCCCCCCCACCCACCCCCCACCCATTGCCCGCCGTTCCCTGCCAGGTGCTGTGCGGGGCGGTGTCAGCGCTGGGCATCATGTCCGCCATCTCTGCGGGCATCGGCCGCCTCTTCCGGGAAGTGCCCGCCCAGCTGCAAACCTGTGAGCTCGCCCCCTCTCGCCCTCTCCCAGGCACGTAACTCTCACTGCACTGCTCTCAGTTTTCCCTCTCAGCTAGCGAGTTAATTGTAAACAACTTGCTGAGAAAACCCTGGCTGGAATTTGTACGCTCAAACGACAACCTCTAAAGAAGTACAAGAGAGACACCCATGTCCCATGTCCCATTTCCAAGAGCACAAGGAACAAGAGGGGCACAGTAGTTCATTCCTCTCCCATGCCCCCATCCAACCCTTCTTTCACACACCCACCTGCCCCCCCGACACATGCACCTTCGCCAATTCTCCATTCATTTCCCCCACCCCACCCCCCTCCCCCACCCCCTCCCTCAACCTCTTCCCCCCCTCCCCCCCCCACCACCACTTGCCCCGTCCAGCCATCCCGGTGGGCGAGTACCTGGCGTGCGCGCTGCTGGTGTGGTTCGGCATCAAGTCAATTCAGTCCGCTCTCAAGATGCCCGCCACGCCCATCGGCGCTGCTGCTCCTGCTGCCGCTGCCGCTGCTGCTGGGGGGACGGCGGGAGCAGGGGCAGCGGAGGGGGACGAGGAGGAGGGCGAGTTGGCCGAGGCGAGGGAGTTTGTGGAGAAGGCCGAGGTGCGTGAGTGGGTGCGGGTGCGGGTTTGCTATTCAGCATGAACTGTTTTCATTCTCCCGTATGCTGCTAGTCTGCTTCATCATACAGGCGAATTTGCTAGCCAAGATCACTCCTTGGTAGTGTGAAGGCTGTGAATGCGCATAAGTCGGTGCGCACACATGAGCTCTCGTGGATTCCTGCACCTCCACTTCCACACCTGTTTGTGTGCGCGTCGTTCCACGTGTCCTCATGTCCTCGTGTCCCGGTGTTCCTGTGTCCTCTTGTGCAGGCGGAGAAGCCAGTGGCCACAACCCTTGAAGTCTTCTGGGAGGCCTTCTCGCTCATCTTCCTTGCTGTATGCCTCCTCTCCCACTCCCTCTCCCTCGCCCTCGCACATGCAATCACACAAACACGCACTCACGCACACACACACGCACGTACACAAACACTCACACACAGATATACACGTGCACACACTCACAGACATGCACACGGTGTATCGCCTTTGTTTTTGACTCATGAGCATCTGGCAGCCCCTTCTATCACATGCTTCATGTGGCCTGTCTATCACAGAGTGCCATGTCCGTGCGCCGTCGTCAAGCACTCCTCACAGCGCTCTTTGCATGCATCTCACGATGTTCCTCCACGCTCCATCGTGCTCTACAATCCAAGATTGACCATTGTATTCTATGCTTGCCGTGCATGACTCCTATCTCCCCAGCATTTTCAGGACCCATTCTCATCTTCTAGTCTACTCATTCTCCTCTTTCCCCCACCAGGAATGGGGCGACCGGTCCATGCTCGCTACCATTGCTCTTGGAGCTGCGCAGGTGTGTGTTGCCTTCTCTCACCACCCCTTGGACCCAACCCTCTCTCATCCCTCCTCCTCTCTCTCACCCCTTTCCTTTCATGCTCATGCTGCAGTTGCTCCCGCAGGCCGCTACTTCTTGCCATGCTCCTCCACATCTTCTCCCATTTTCCACACCTGCCGCCTTCTTTTGAGTCCAAACCAAAGCATGTGTTCGCCCTCTCCATCATCCCTGCCCACCGCCGTTCTTGTGCCATCATGTTTCCATATCCTCGTCCTGCGCTTCCTTTCCCCAGAACCCCCTCACACTCACCCGTCACTTGCCCCCCTCTTCCTTTTCCATCCCACGCACCTCGGCTCTCACTCCCTTTCTCCTCCTTTCGTGTCTCCCCCTGTCTCCTCTCTTCACCAGAACCCTGTGGGCGTGGCACTGGGCGCCACGGTGGGTCATCTGCTAGCCACAGGCCTGGCAGTCATAGGAGGCGCGCTGCTCTCCAAGCACATCTCCGAGCGCTTCGTACGGCCCCGACCCTCCATCTCACGCATCCCCCCTGCCCCCTCCTTAGTTCTTCCGTGCTTAAGCGCCTTCAATCTTCCCAACCTCCCTTCTCCGTTACTGAACCTTGTGGCGTCTGCACCTTTTTTGTTGCCCTGCTGGATCCACACTTTTCCTCCTTCCTTCCACATCCTGCCCCCCCACCCTCGCTCGTTCCTCGCACCTTCATCCTCCCCCTGACCCTTCCTCCTCCCCCATTGTGCCTCTCTTTTCCCCCTCTCTCCCTCTCTCCCTCCCGCACAGGTGGGCATAGCTGGTGGGGTCCTCTTCTTTATCTTTGCAGCTGCCACTATCTTTGGTGTCTTCTAAAGAGTGCAGTGCAGCGCTCAGCTCACCCTCTCTCGTTGGTTAGAATCCACCAATTGCTGGCGTTTTGATCCACAAGACATAAGTGCTACGGTATGCTCCGTGTATTGACTGCAAGCACAGCACTGGTGTTCCACTGACAGACAGCCATGCATGCATGGGGCACCATGGGTGCTGGTCCCATTGGTGCTGCTGATCTTGATTCTGCAGCTGCTAGCAGCTGCTGCTGCCCAAGGCTAGATGGCTTGAGCATGTTTGCTGTTAGTGCACCCATCACATGCAAGTGTATGTTACAGACCACGGCTGTCGTTATCAGGGTATTTTACCCTGATTCCCTGATTTCATAAGGTATTTTTTTGGCCAACCCTTAATTTTCAGGGTTGGGTTTTTTTGAACCCTAACCTCTTCAGGGTTGTATGTTTGTGAACACTTAAAATTTCAGGGTTTGCGTTATCCCAACACTGAGTTTTCAGGGAGTAACGCGAACGAACCCTGAATGCGACATCCATGCGGACCCTGAGTTTCCTCGAAATGGCCCCCTTACGCGTGACGGGGCCCAGTCCATTGAACATGCCCAGCATGCGTCACGTGGGGAATCTGCACTCGGCACGATTCCCGCAGTGTACACGCTGTATGTTGCCATTACAGCAACATTTGCAACCATCAACTGGCATTCGTGACTCAGCAAGCAGCAGACGAGGACAGAATATGATGAGCGCGGCAATGTCAGCCTCTGAATGACATCGCCCCGCCAATCATCTCTGTGCAGACGATTTCGTCTGGGAAGAAAGCACGCATCGGGAAGTACACCCAGAGCACGATAGTCCTCGGCGGGAAGCTACATCGACGGTCGCCGCCTCGTACGTCGCCTGAACCTCAGGCCCCTGGTATTACAGAACCCGAGCCGCCGAATCTCTCAAAGAAGGAACTCATCGAGCAGAAGTATCTCATGGCTGAGCACAAGTATAAGACCAGCTGGCTTCCATTTTTCCCTTGGCTTCTGCTAACGAAAACGAAAGACGGTTACCCTGCTTTGAAGTGCAGTGTGTGCAAGGCTTTCGGCAAAGAGACAACACCATACTCCAACAGCCGCGACGGGGCACGTGACTTGCAGACGCAAGCGATGCAGTTCCACGAACACACGACAGCCCACGAAGTAGCAGTCAAGCGTCAGTTGGAGATCGCCGAAGACATCGCCAGCACCCAGAGGCGCATGGAGAATTACGCGCGGATTGACATCGAGGGGAAGCGCGTCATGAGGCTCCTACGCTGCGTCGACTTCCTGTGCAAGTGTGATGCACCCATCAGCATGTACCCGAGGCTACTCCGCTTCATGGCCGAGCAGGAGACACCAGACATTCCGCTGCAGTCTTACGGAGTCTACCTGACACGGTAATGCATTTATTTGAAGTACACCATGTCCTTCATTTTTCAAAAAGGTCTAACCAACACCTTGTTGTCACTTCTGCTACTACAGGTATGGCTTCTGTCAGCTCGTCAGCAGCCTGGCAACCTACCTGCAGCGCCGACAAATGCAATACATTCTCGCCTCACCCTACCTCGGCATCAGCTGCGACGAGAGCACTGACCGTACTCGCGGTAAACATCTTATTGTTTATCTGACCTTCTTGCGTGCGCATCGTGTTGTCACAGAGTTTTCTGCTCTCTTGACCGTCGAAAAGTGCGATGCCGCGTCTCTCCTCGCCGTTCTTCTGGCTCACTTGCGAGCAACTGGCATCGACCTCTCCCGAATCACCGGCATGAGCACCGACGGCGCCTCTGTCATGGTCGGCCGAGACAATGGTCTCGTCGCCCGACTTCGCGAGCACATCCCCCACCTCGTCTCGTCGCACTGCATCGCCCAAAGGTTTAACCGCTTGTCATTTCAGTCGCTTAGGGTTCCTACAACTGCTTGTCTAAAATTCCTTTGTGTGCACCATGCAGGGAAGCCTTGGCGGTGAAGGACGCGGCCACTGCTTCTCCAGACTTCGACATGGTCGACCTTGTGATTCGGACTCTGGCCGATCTTCTGGGACGTTCATGTGTCTGGAGTCAACGCTTCAAGTACCTGCAGCGGGCAATACACAACACCAACCTTGAAGTGCAAGGAATTCGCACCGTGCGCTTTCAAGGGGTGAGGCTGTGAGGCGCCTCTGTAAGGTCCTTGGTGCCGCTATCATTCTCTTTTATGAGTACGGGCATGAGCTGTATGAGGTCGTCATCTGTTACACGTTCCATCTGTCTTTTTTTCCTGCCGGACATGCTCGGAGTGATGAATGAGCTCAACCTCAAATTCCAGAAGAGGGAGGTGAGCTTCTACCACTGTGGATGTTGTAGTTTTTGTCCCATGCATCCACGTTTGGAATCACCCTCTGACTCCACTCCCTTGTCTGTCACTTCCATCAGGTCGATGTCACCGAAGTGACAAAGGACATCGACGAGGCGACAGGGGACCTCCGCCACCGCTACTTGGAGTGCGGAGAGGTGTTCGGTGGGGGTGTCGAAGGCATGTGGCTTTCGGCTTTCTTGGCGATCTACGGGTGCGGAGGGGGCAAACGTGTAAAGGTGCGGGGCATCGACAAGGACGGCAACCCAGCCACGCACACCTACACCATGCACGAGAAGCAGATCGACGGGCATGCCTTCCGCAGCAAGTACCCCGATTGCGAGCGGCTCTGCGCGCAGTTCGCGAAGGACACGATAAGCTTCCTGAAGACGAGGATGCTGGACCTGAACAATCTCGGCCCGACAAAGCTCTTCCGCGTGTCGAAGTGCCCCCGGATGAAGCAGTAGAGAGAGAAGAAGCTGAAGGAGTACCTACATGGCTGCAGTGCCTTGTTCGACAACAGGCTGACAGGCTTTTCCTTGCAAGCTGCGCAGAAGGAGCTGGTCACGTGGGCGCCACTGATGCTGAGCCACCATGCCGACGAGGGATTCCATTAAGGCCTGACGAACTACCTCGGCTCGACGGAGTCGACCTTGTGAGAGAGTGCTGCTCGAAGGACGATTGTTGCATTTTTTTTGGCGGTTTTATTCTTCCCTCTGGATGTTGTTGTTTATCGATTGTTGACTAGCATCGCTAATGCACTGGTCTTGTTCCATGTACTGTGTTCCCCCAACCCTTTTGGCAGGCGCTGGCCCAACCTCATGCGCTTGTGGCAGGCATGCGCTGTCCTGCCGCTTAGCACAGTGGAGTGTGAACGAGGCTTCTCGCGGCATACGTCATCAAGTCATGGGTGCGGGGCGCGTTGTGCAATGCGCGCCTCAGCGAGCTGATGGTCATTTCCCTACTGCAGTACGAGACTGACTGGGACGAGGCCCTTGGGTGTTGGCGCGAGAAGCTGAGGCGCCCTGCTAAGTCTGTTCTGTTTGCCGCAGCGCAGAGGAAGCGTAAGGCGAAGGCGATTGAGGGGGCAGAAGAGAGGGTGGAGGAGGAGGCAGTCCCCGACTACATGGGGGATTGGGCAGAGGATGAAGGAGAGGGGGAGGGGGGAGTGGGGGGAGAGGCTCCTCCTGAAGTGGAAGACAACCCCTTTCTGTCCGATGACGAGGCAGAAGACGAAGTGAACATGGATGGCCCAGAATTTTAGTCAAGTGTAGCTAGTGGCGTGGAATATTGTGAAGTCTAGACTAGATAGAGGACTTGTAGACTGGCGTGGCGTAGTGGTGCTTTTATTTAACTAGTAGCTGTACATTCCTAGTTGATTTTTTCCAAGTGCAATACAACCCTGATTGTTGCTAGCCAGCCCAGGAGCTTTCAGGGTTGTGAGTTCCAGAACACTGAGAAATCAGGGAAGTCAAAATTCCAACACTAGGCCCTCAGGGTAAAATTTTCTCCACATTCGACAGCTCAGGGGGCTTTTTTTTGAAACGTCAGCCCTGTTACAGACGATTGTTAGTGATCATAGAATAGCAGATTGATCAGAAACAAGCATACAGTGTGGTTTTCTGCTGGTGTGTTGTACTCTCTATGAGCACGCACCTATCTAGCCTATAACAACATATTAATATGATTTGACACACCCCCTAGGCTAGACAAGGGGCAGTGCCTAGCAAGAGACACACAACTCAGGGCGGCACTATTAGTCCAACCTCTGAGGCAAGGGTCCAAAGACCAGTCAGAAGAGTACAAACTAGACAAGAGCAACCCAGGGCGCCACTACTAGTCCTGCCCAGGGCCTATTTTATCAGAGTAATTTACTCTGTTTCTCTGAAAATCAGAGTCGTTTTTGAAAACTACTCTAGGGGCCCTGAGTAAAAAAATAAATTATTTGTTTTACTCTGATTTTATCAGAGTAAACCTGTGTACCACTCTGATGGTCCGTGTATAGGGGGTACCGTATATATGTGATTATGTTCCTGTCCCCTATACTTAGCTGTGCCCATGTATCCCGCAGAACGCGTCATGTCATACGCACCGACGAAATCATTGTCTGGTCCGTGCTCGAGGTTGTGTGAGGGTGCTATGGTAAGTGTCCCTTAAAACCACAGGCTAAAATAGCAAAGGGGGGGCTTCAAGAGCGCCGTTCTTGAAGATGGCTCTTTTTAAAAAAAATGGGTTCCCAGCACTATTTTGCGAGGTGCGTTTTTGGGCAGCTGAACAATGATAGAAACGTAGTGGCGCCGATTTGACGCGTGTGCGACGAGGCGGGAAACGCGCGCGCGACTCATTTGACTTTTTGCCAACTTGGTGAAACGAAAAAAAAAAAAAAAAAAAAAAAAAAAAAAAAACTACTGTACCTCGGAAGTATTCGGCGTACGTGTTAAGGCTTCACATTACGAAGCTCCCTCGACCGCGACTCGCGACTAGGGTGGAGGTGAACTGTGCAACTTGTGTGCCGAACAGCCACATGGGTTGTGCGAAATGCGACCCAGGTAAACCTCGGGTTAAAAACCTATTGCACACCCATGGAGCTCTTGAAAAAACTGAGCCGTGTGAGCGGTCAGTCGCAACTTGATCCGCCGAGCAACTGGCGCCAAATCAATCGTCGCGCACCAATAACGTAGCAAAGGTACTTCGCATTACAAACAATTTCGGGTCCCATACCATTTCAGAAATAGAAAACGCACCAAAGGGTCTGCCCCAAAACGAAACATTTTTTCAAGAGCTCCGCTCGTGTGCTGTTCTAGCTTGTGGTTTTAACCAAAATCACCTCGCCAATTGTGCTGGAAGGTGCGTGAGGGCGCTGATTGGCCCTTCGCCAAATCTAGGGGTCAAGCGAGATGCGCTGTTGGCTATGTGAGGTCGTGTTGGTTGGGCCCTTCACCGTATTTGGGGCCAACGTGTGCTTGCACGGGGGGTGCAAGATTTCCCGTCCCCGCCCCTGCTGTGTCGACCTCTCCTGCCAGCTCGATTCCCCCTGCCCCTGCAATCTCGATTCCCCCTGCCCATACAATCTCTCGATACTTCCCCTTTGTTCCACCCCCCATCTCCCGATCTTGCCCCGCACACCTAGAGAACCCTGCTGCAGAGAGTTACTTCAAAAACCCCTCTGCATTGTCAGTGTAAAATTTTGAGAATATATAAAAAACCCTGGAAAATCAGAGAAACCATTAAGGAGCACTCTGATTTTTAGAGTGATGAAAAAAGCCACTCCCTAATTTCAGAGTAGTAAAAATCCAAAAGTAGGCCCTGGTCCTGCCACTGAGACAAGAGCCACAAGGCCAGTCAAGATAATATAAAAAGATTCACATGGTCCTCTTTAAAAAAATCTCTTGTCTGAGCCATCAGACACGGGTTTTTATTTTTGTCTGAAAATCTTGACACTCTATCTGAATTGCAGACAAAACCAAAATGTCTGCTTGAAATCCCGGTATAAGACCATAGTAGAAATTACAAAATGATGAATTCGCATCTTCTTTTCTAAACAGTTGAGTGGTGTTGCTCGATTTCCTAAGCTGCCGTCCCCTTGGTCTCGCCACTTCTAAGGGCCGATTCTTTCCCCCGCTAGTTTCGAAGCAGTTTTGCAAAGCTGAACAGACCTTAGGCGGAAGCGGAGAGTAGCCGTCCTGTCCTGGCGCTGACCCGTCAGCTGACGGCGAAGGTTGACGAGCCACGCCTCGAAATCAACCACCTGACCCTCCGCGTCCAGGCGGAGCACGGCGTCCGCCATCACCACAGCCGCAGCTGCTGACGGCGACACGGCAGCACGGTGGCACGGTGGCACGGTGGCATGGCACCACGGCGGCACGGCGACACGGGGACACGGCTGCACGGCGGCACGGCAGCACGGAGGCATGGCAGCACGGCGGCACGGCGAGCTGGGGCAGCAGGTTCAGGGGCCGGCGGGACCAGGGCCGGCTCGAACTGGGGCCAGCGAGCGAGGGGCCGGCGCGAACTGGGGCCGGCGCGATCTGGGGCCGGCGAGCTAGGAGCCGGCGAGCTAGGGGCCGGCAAGCGAGGGGCCGGCTAGCGAGGGGCCGGCGAGCGAGGGGCCAGCGAGCGCGGGGCTGGTAAGCGTGCAGCCAGCGAGCGAGGGGCCAGCAAACACGGGGCCAGCGAGAATTGGGGCCAGCGAGAATTGGGGCCAGCGAGCGCGGGGCCGGCGAGCGCGGGGCCAGCGAGCGAGGGGCCGGCGAGCACGGGGCCAGCGAGCGTGGGGCTAGCGAGCGCGGGGCCGGCGAGCACAGGGCCAGCGAGCGCGAGACTAGCGAGCGAGGGGCTAGCGAGCGCAGGGCCGACGAACGCTAGGACGGCGCGAACTGGGGCCGGCGAGCTAGGGGCTGGAAGGCGAGGGGCGGGCTAGCGAGGAGCCGACGGGCTAAGGACCGGCAAGCGAGGGGCCGGCTAGCGAGGGCGGCCAGCGGCTGGCAGCTAGCGATGGCAGCTAGCGACGGGCGGCTAGCGGCGACGGGCGGGGCAGGCGGCGGGCTAGGAGCCGTGCAGTGCGCTAAGGGTCGAGCGGGCGAGAGCTAGGGCTAGGACTAGAGCGGAAGCGCGTGTGGGCGGGGAGTACCTTACCTAGTGTGATACCATCTCAACGTAACGAGTTGAGAAGAGTAGAGAGTACAGGGTGAGTTTGTACTAGTGTGTTGTACCCTCTAAGAGCATGCACCTAACTAGCCGTTAACAACATATGCAAATATGTTTGACAGAGAGTAGTGATCGCTTGGGACACTCCGCTGAAACAAAGTGTCCAGTCACAACACGTGGGGACAACCAATCGCGACTTATTGGGGCTTTCTCTGGGGGGGGGATGCAACCCCATATCAGTGGATTCAGACAAGGAAGAAACACTAGTCCAAACAATCAGACAAATCGTAAAACCTTGTCTGTCACAGGATCGAATGTGTCGAGGAAAGGTTGCACTATCGATTGATACAAGGCGCTTTTATACTTCCAAAGTACATCAGGTAGCCAGGTTTATCCTATCCCAAAGGAATAGACCCTTCTAGAAAATAGAATCACCCTGCGTATAGCCCCGCGAGGCTATTAGCTTTAAGGGATTACGGCAGGATTACGCTAGATATAGTGTACCAGTACATCCCAAGCCTGGTCGGTGATATAGTGATAATTACAGGATAAACCAAAGGTTTATGCAAAAGAAGAAATAGGAATCCACATGGAATGAGATAAAGACCAAATTAATCAAGATAAAAAGAGGAATGAAATGGAAAGGGAAGATGGAAAGGAGAAAGGAATGGAACGGGGTCGTACTCTCACACTTCCCCCCCTCAAAGCTGGGTGGTATACGTAACACCCTGCTTGACAAGGTAGTCGCGAAGAGGACGATGAGCATGATCCATCTCGGATTCAGAGACCCAGCTATCCTCTGAAGGATCATAACCCTTCCAACGGATGAGAAGCTCCACGGTGCCATTCCGTCGACGCTGGTGAGCAAGCATGGACTCGGCCTCGTACTCGGGTTCATCATCGACGAGGACGGGCGGCGGCGGTTGGCGTCCAGAGAAGACCGCATTGGGATCTCGGTAGGGCTTCAAGAGTTGGACATGGAAGGCGTTGTGAATCTTCCAGGTAGCTGGCAGGCGTAAGCGGAAGGTAACAGGAGTGACCTGTGCTTCAACGAGAAAAGGCGTGGAGAAGCGAGGTCGCAGTTTGGATGGGAGATGGCTGATGTCAAGATTGCGCGTGTCGAGTAGTACTCGGTCTCCCATGGTGATGGTGTGGTCTGTGCGGTGGCGATCGGCCTGGCGCTTCTGTTGCTGCTGAATGTTGAGAAGACGCTTGTGGGTCCGATCCCAAAGTTTGTGCATGGTCGTGATGAAATCATGAGCGGGTTGGACTGTGGCTGGTATGTTTGGCTATTGAGGTGTGAGTGGGTGGCGTCCGTTACAGAGGAAGAACGGCGTCTGTCCAGTGGCGGCGTGAGTAGCATTGTTGTAGGCAAACTCCAGGACGGGCAGATGCAAGTCCCATTTGGAGATGTCGTCCTTGCAGGCTGCGCAGAGGAGTTCCTCCACAATTTGGTTGAGGCGCTCGGTCTGTCCATCTGTCTGCGGATGGTAGGCGGATGACATGGCGAGTTTGGTCCCGAGCAGAGACATTAGTTCTTTCCAGAATTTACTGGTGAACTTAGGGTCTCGGTCGGAGATGAGTGGGGTTGGAATGCCATGTTCTGAGGTGATGTAGCGAACAATGAGTTGTGCTGTCTCCTCGGTGCGTGCTGTGGTGTGTGTCGGGATGAAGTGTCCCATTTTGGAGAACTTGTCAATGACGACGAGGATCGCGTCATGACCGCTTGTGCTAGTTGGTAGCCCGGTGATGAAGTCCAGGCTTACCACTTGCCATGGCTGTTCTGGGACAGGAAGAGGCTGTAGCAGACCCGCCTTTTTCTGCTTGCTGCTCTTCATCCGCTGACATATAGTGCACGAGGTGACGAATTTCTGTACGTCATCTGCCATGTGGGGCCCGTAGTAGTGTTTGGCGATACCGGTGAGCATCTTGTTGCTACCGAAGTGTCCCGCGTACAGGACGTCGTGGTATTCTTCGAGTAGTAACTGGTAATCCTTTCTGGTACGCGATGTCGTTGTCCCATTGTAGCAGATGTTGCTTTTCTGCCAAGGCAATTTCGGGGTCGATGGTGTACCCATGTGTGAAGAGTCCCTTGAGGAGTGGATTCATCCCTTCAACTTGGATAGCGGCAACGTGTGCAGGCCGGCTAAGCGCATCTGCTTTGTTTTTGTGGCCGGGCTTGTATACGATGTCGTAGTGGAAGTGTGTCTCGAGGAAGTCAATCCACCGGACCTGCTGCCTGGAGAGGATTGGTTGTGTCTTCAAATATTTTAGGCTGCAATGGTCGGTGTAGACTGTTGTTTTGCGTTCTTGGAGATTGCATCTCCACGTTTTGAAGGCGATGATGATAGCAAGGGCCTTCTTGTCGTGTATCGGGTAGTTGAGTTCTGCCCCGTGTAATTTTTTGCTGAGGTAGGCGATTGGTTACAGGCCATTCCCCTAGTCTTGCATCAAGACTGCTCCCACTGCCTGGTCGCTGGCCTCAGCTTCAATGACGTAGTCGCGTTGAGGTTCTGGCAAGATGAGAACGGGTGCGGACGTGAGTGCTTGTTTCAGCCGCTCCACGGCTTCTTGGTGTTGTGGCTCCCATTTATAGGGCGTTTTCTTCTTTAGCAGATTCGTGAGTGGCGAGGCCATCTTCCCGTATTACGGCATGAACCTGTTGTAGTAGTTAGCAAAGCCAAGGAACTGCTGTAACTCCTTCACGTTCTCGGGTGTCTTCCACGTACGCACGGCTTTGATTTTCTTGGGATCGGCGTGAACTCCTTGAGCTCTTACGATATGTCCGAGGAACTTTCTCGAGGGCGAAGTCGCTCTTGGATAGTTTGACATAGAAGCGCTCTCGTCGAAGAATTTCGAAGACGCGTCGTAGGTGCTCGACGTGTTGTTGCATGTCGCGCGAGTAGATGAGGATGTCGTCCAGGTACACCACCACGCATTCGTCCAAGAGTGGGCATAGGATATGATTCATTTCTGCTTGGAACATTACAGGTGCGTTGGTGACGGCATTACCAGATACTCGTACGATCCGTACCGAGTTCGGAAAGCAGTTTTTTGAACAGAATCGTCCGCCATTCGTATCTGCAAATATCCGGACCGCAGATCTAGTTTTGAAAATAGCGTGGCTTCCCGAAGCTGGTAAAGCAGGTCATTGATTCGTGGAATCGGGCATTTTTTCTTGATGGTCTGCTTGTTGAGAGCTCGCTAGTCGATGCACATGCGCAGGCTTCCGTCCGGTTTCGGTGTGAAGAGTACTGGGGCATCGTATGGCGAAGTAGATGGTCGGAGGAGTCCTTTGGCGAGGAGATACTCGATCTATTTCTTCGTGTCGGCTAGTTCTGTGGGGCTTAGCCAATATGGTGCTCGGAAGGTTGGTTTTGGAACTTGGTTCCTCCACGATCTCGTGTTGGTGCGTTCGGTATGGCGGTAGCTCGTCGGGGAGGTCGTCGGGAAGAATGTCTTGGAACTCCTTCAGTAAGTCCTTGATTTTTTCTGGTGGTTCCGAGGCTTTCTCTCCGTCATTCTCCATCTCGGTTGCTATCGCCAGGAACCCGGTTTTGATTCGCTTCACGCCCTTCTCGAATCTGGCGAGTGTCTCCACTGGGATATCTCCTGTATCGTCCCAGTTGGGTAGCTGGACTCTCCTTCCTTTGTTGTAGATGCTTGCGGTGCGGTTTACCAAGTTGATCCCGGGGTTGAATTTCTTGAGGAAGTCTCGCCCGAAGTTCGGGTCAAGCCCTTTTATGTTGGTGATGGGGAGAGCAGGTTTCCAGCGCAGTGGACCGATTTGTAGGTGTAGCACTGCTTCGCCGTACACTGGTAACTTGGTGCCGTCCACCATCGTTGCAGAAAACGCTGATGGCTTGTACTCTTCTCGAATTCGGTCGAGGGTTGCCTTGTCGCATACGGTGTGCGATGCTCCGCTGTCCACGAGTGCTTGGAGGCGTCGCCCTTTGCAGATGACCTCAAGCACGAGGAGCAGGCGTTGCTCGGAGTACCCAAAGATAGTTTCATTGATTGGGTCGTAGGGTACATCCCAATATTCGTTGCTTCCTACTCCTGAGCTGGAAGCTGGCCGAGGCTGCTTGGAGAAAGGCTCTTCTCCAGGGCCCGGAGTTTCCGTGACGACTGTTCGTGTCGTTGACGAAGTTGCCGAGTTGGATGCATCCGAAGAAGAACGAGTTCGGGGTTTTTGCAGCTGTATGCTCATGACTCTAGTAATGCTGGTTCTCGTTATCCAGCTCTCTTTAGCCTAGGATCTACTACCGCTGCTGCTGCTGCTGCCGCCGCCGCTACCGCTGCTGCTGCCGCTGCCGCTGCTGCTGCCACTGCCGCTGCTACTGCCGCTGTTGCCACTGCAGTCAATTCTGCCGCCGCCGCTGCCGCTGGCGTCGCCACTGCGGCCGCCGCCGTCGCCGCCGCCGCTGCCGCTGCCTTGGCTGCTGCCGCTGCAGCTGCTGCTGCTGCTGCTGCTGCTGCTGCTGCTGCTGCTGCGGCTGCTGCTTCTGCTGCGGTTGCTGCTGCGGCGGCGGCTGCTGCGGTTGCTGCTACTACGGCTCCTGCTGCTGCTGCTGCTGCGGTGGAAGCGGCTGCTGCTGCGGCTGTTGCCGATACGACGTTGACCATGTCGAAGCGTTCCGCGGCCGATACGACGTCACTGTAGCTCGCGTAGTTTGTCGGTGCCACTTGTCGTTTGACTTCGGTCTTCAGCCCGGCGAGGTACGACTGTACTTTTTCCCCTTCGGTTAGGTCGGGAATGCGGTTATAAAATTCCTCCATCTGCTGCGTGTACTGCGCTACACTCCCGAACTATCGATGGCGATGAATTTTTCCCCGGGCAAGGAAACCCGAATTTATCGGCTCGAAACGTTTTAGCAGGTCGTTGCGGAACTGCTGCCATGTGGCTTTGCCATGGATGAAGGTGCTATTACCGCCGATCCACTCGAGTGCCGGCCCTCGCATCAGTGTCGCCGCAAGTTGTACGCGTTGTCTGTCCCAGACTGGCGAGCTCCATCCAACGGCTGCGAAGTAGATCTCCATGCCGGCGATCCATCTGCGGACGTCGGAACTTCGATCGCTCGGATCGAACGGCTCAGGTGGGCGCAGTTTCGGAGCCTCGAGAAATTGTTGCGACTGCTGCGTCGTTGCCGTTGTCATTTTGTGTTGCGCGCTGACGAGTCTAGTTACTCGCTCGAACTCTTGTCGCCAAGCTTCGCAGTCGGCTCGCATCTCCTCCTGTAGGGTGGCGATGCTTGCGAAGAGCTGCTGGGTAACTTCGGCGTTGTCGAAGTTTGCCATCCTGTTCAAAACTCGCGCGGAGGGGGTAATTCGAAAAAACGCGGAGCTGATGCTTAGCAGAATCGGCGTCGAATTGGTCGCCCCCGGCGGTTTTTGGAGGCAGGAGTCCCGCTACTGCTTCTAAGCTGAGCGCGGCCGAGTGAGAAAAGCTCTGATTACCAAGTGTCACAGGATCGAATGTGTCGATGAAAGGTTGCACTATCGATTGATACAAGGCGCTTTATACTTCCAAAGTACAGTGGCGGATTAAATTGCCCGGATGTTTAACACTTTGAAACGTATCGCTATGCCACACATGTTTCGAAAATAGTAACACCCGTTTTTTGCCATTCTGTTACAATGTTTTTGAGTTCTGCTTCATCCGTTTCTTGCTTGGCGCGATTGTGACACAAACGGAAAATGGGGTTGAAATTTACTCCTCGACTATCGATGTGGACATTTCCTACCGAGCGGAAGAGTAGATCTATTTTCCCCCGTCACTCGGTGTGTACATCGTCACGCGCACCAGTTGCTGGCTTAGGAGTTAGTCCGGAAGCGAGCCTACGACCGCATCGCTATGAAGCCGTTAAATGAGAGGAAGCGCGCGAGGATCATAAGCATGTTGCGTGCGGGGCATTCGACTAGGAAAATAGGGAAAGTTCTTGGCATAGGCAAGAGCACCGTGCACGATTACGGTTTGAAACTCGCTGCCGAGACTAGTCGCGAGGAGGTGCAACCTACGATGCCTTCGGCCGGCCGCCCCCGCTTAATCACTACCCGTCTCCAGCGCGGAGTAATACGCGCGATTACAAGCGGCGAGGCGAAAAGCTCTGTAGACGCGGCCAAGATGTTGTTGGAGAAGCACGATCTCGCCATAGACTCGAAGACGGTCCGGAACTCATTACGATCCGCGGGGCTGATCGCCGTGCATCAGCCCAAGAAACCCAGGCTCTCACCGAAAAACATCCGAGATCGTCTCGACTTCGCGCGGGCGCATGCCGACTGGACGCTGGAGGACTGGAGGCGGGTGATTTGGTCTGACGAGACGAAGATAAACCGCTACTGCTCCGACGGACGTGCGTACGCCTGGATTCGCGAGGGCACCAGCCTTCGGAGCCACCAAGTCCAACAGACAGTTAAGCATGGGGGCGGTTCTGTGATGGTGTGGGGTTGCATGACGTATGAGGGGGCGGGGTTCATGTGCAAGATAGATGGCAGGATGGATGGGCCGCTGTATCGCAGCATCTTGCAATATGAGCTCAAACAGACCATCGATTTTTTCGAGCTTTCCCCCTCAGAGGTCATTTTCCAGCACGACAATGATCCCAAGCACAGGTCTCGTCTGGTCCAAGACTGGCTTGGGGAGCAGGAGTACGCGGTGCTGGAATGGCCGTCGTGCTCCCCGGACCTTAACCCGATTGAGCACCTGTGGGCACACTTGAAAAGGCAGCTGGGGAAGTACGAAAAGCCGCCAAGTGGAATGCTGGAGCTGTGGGAGAGGGTGCAGGAGGAATGGGACAAGATACCGCCGGAGGTGTGTGCAAACCTGATCGACAGCCTGCCGAGGAGGATCAAGGCAGTGATTCGGGCAAAGGGACGCTGGACTAGGTACTAGTTTTCCTAGAATCTAGTATGATACCTTTTTTCAGTACAAATTGTCCACATGTTCTCCTATGCTATGCTTAGGTGTTTAAGGACCATGTGTGGTACTACTTTGGTGTTTGTCAACTCGAGTGAGTGCTCTAACTGAACTTCTCGGCGTGAATGCACACCATACATTAAGGCTTAATGTATACGCCGCTGCACTCATTAAAATGCAAAAAAAGGCAGAACATGTGGACAATTTAATCCGCCACTGTACATCAGGTAATCAGGCTTATCCTATCCCAAAGGAATAGACCCTTCTAGAAAATAGAATCACCCTGCGTATAGCTACGCGAGACTATTGGATTTAAGGGATTACGACAGGATTACGCTAGATATAGCATACCAGTACATCCCAAGCCTGGTCGGTGATATAATGATAATAACAGGATAAACCAAAGGTTTATGGAAAAGAAGAAATAGGAATCCAAATGGAATGAGATAAAGACCAAATGAATCAGGATAAAAAGAGGAATGAAATGGAAAGGGAAGATGGAAAGGAGAAAGGAATGGAACAGGGTCGTACTCTTACATTGTCAAAGCCAATTTGACAAAAAACATTTCTTGTCTGGTGAATCAGACAAAGTCGGAAAATTCTGTCCGAAAATATGACGTTCAGCCAGTGTTTGTCTGCAAAAGACGACCATGATACACAATAAGGGTCCTAGCAAGTGAGGAGCTACTGGAACTAGACCAAGCTGTACACAGTGCCGCTGATGATCTTTAAGCGCAAGCGCCTTGGTAACGATATCAGCTGTATTGGCACCGGAGGCCAAGTGTACTACGCAGGCCTGGCGGCGCTGCTGTAGCTCGCGCAAGAGGAAGTACCGCCCTCTAGTCGAGGCTCCGAACACAGGAGGATCATTGCCCTGTTGTCAGCGTACAGGACCGGGGCAGAGCTAGGCCGCTCACCTATGTCTATGAGCAAGAACGGCAGCCTGCGGAGCTCTTGTGCTACCAAGGCACTATCGTAGATCTCAGCCGGACAGCTAGCCTTCGCAATAGACGACGAGCGCGTGGACCTCCACGAGATACCGCCTGCACCAAGGCTAAAGAAGTAGCCCCGGGAGGACCAGAGCGTCTCAGCGTCGTCCGCCCACGAAGCGTCTGTGTGCCCTGTAAGGACCACTGGCCTGCGTTCTCCTAGCACTAGCCCTATGCACGATGTACTTGCTAGATAACGCAAAACCCTCTTAGCGGCCGACCAGTGTTGCGGTCGGTTTCTGCTTGTCACCACAAAGTGAGCCATGATACTGAGATGGTATGCGAGATCTGGACGATTGCAAGACATCAGGTACATGAGGCAGCCCACCAGCTCCGCGTACGGACCACTAGGCTCTACAGACTCGTCAGGGACTGGAGCCGAGAGCCTGTGATCTACTGGCAGAGGTGAAGGCTGTGCGGAGGAGAACTGATGACCGAACCTCTGAAGGACCTGGCGCACAAAGTGTGACTATGTGAGAGTGTTGGTGCGCGCTGCTCTGTCCCGGGAGGTCTGCTGGCGAAGGTAGCGGCGCAGCTCTCCAAGGTCAATGCAGGTGTGTCTCCTCAGTAGCTCAGCCTTCATGGAGGCCACTGCGTCTCTGTCTGCAGTAGCGAAGCCCAGGTCGTCTACATAGACTAGGATGTAGAACGGAGTCTGACCTGAGTGAATGAAGAGCGAAGGGTCTGCAGAGGATGTAGCACGTAGCATGTCGTGCCACTCACGGGGCGCCTGCCGCAGGCCATAAACCGGACGTCGGAGGAGCCACTCGATCCCAGGGGCGAATGTGCCAGTGAAGCCTGGCAGACGGTGCAGGTAGACCGGCTCATGCAGATTGCCATAGAGAAACGCAGAGGAGAATTCTAGGGAGTGCAGCTCGTAGCCGCGCTGTGCTGCTACGTGAAGCAGCACCCGAAGAGTGGTCATCATCAGGGCCAAGGCGAAGGTCTGAAAGAAGTCAACACCCTCGCACTGACTGAAGCCTCTAGCAATGTAGCGCGCCTTGAAAACCGGCGGCTCTCCAGGAGGGCGCTTCACATTGAAGCGTTACCGAGCATCGACTACGTTCACCCTAGGTGGGGGAACTACGTCGACGTAGGTGCCAGTGGATCTCCAAGATGCCATCTCCACGTCCATGGCAGCTATCTACTGAGAGGCCTAGGGTCCGGAGGTCGCCTCAGCGTAAGTGCGAGGGGTCGGGATGTCAAGGGCGTCTGGGTCACCCTCAGGGACTAGCAGCATGGAGCAAAGATGAGGAGTGGCCTCGGACAGGAAAGCTAGCTTGTACTGCCAGTCCTCTAGGACGTTACTGTCAAGGGCAGGTGCACCCCCGACGGACGGAGGACGGGCAGGGTCAGAGACCAGAGTAGTGGCGTAGTCAAGGCAGCGGGTAGAGGCAAATTCAGCGACGACAGCGACAAGAGTGTCAAGACTAGAGACAGGAACGGACGATTCGGTGATAAAGAAGCGAGGACCTGAGGAACAAGGGGACTAGCAGCACGGAGATAGTAAGAGAGAGGAGGCGACGGGAGAGGAGGAGCATGAGACGCATGAGAACAGAGCAACATAGGGTGAGAACGCTGAACCGGGGCAAGGGCAGCGGCAGCTGCAAGGGCAGCGGCGGCAGTGGGCGGTAGTAGCGGCAGTAGTGGCAGCGAGCCAGGAGCGTGAAAGGGCGGGCGTGTAAGGGCGGGCTGGAGCAGCTAGCGTGGGCGAGCTACGAACGAGCTAAGGAGGGAGGGGGGACGAGTGACTAACTATGGTGCCAGCTGGCGCAGGTGGGCGGCGGCTGGCGCGGGCTGGCGCGAGCTACGCGATGAGCAGGGGAGGGCTGGGAGGGGATGAGAGATGAGGCCCGCAACTAGGGCCGAGGCGCGCTAGGCTAGGGTGTGCTAGGGCGGAAGCGTGAGTAGAGGGCGTGACCTAGCTCTAGATGCCATATTAGATTGTCGAGAAAAGTGACTAAGGGAGAAATGTTGAGGGGTACAAGAATCAGGTTGTACCCTCTAAGAACTACACTAACTAGGCTATAAGCAATTATAATCTAGCTACTCTATACAGTTATATAGGGGAATGGCTCGAAGTTTGCCCATGAGCTCTGGGTGGCATGCTTGGTGCGCTTTGAAGGGGAACTAGAAGAGGAACGCGACTTGGGCGTTTCAGGTCTAGAAATCCCCAACGACTCCAGCCCCGTCGGATGCTGACGTCAGGGGTCGCATGAAGCGTTCGGCGATCTAACGAACCCTCATGCTATCTTCCGCAAGGCGACATTTCCTCGCCGTGCCGATGAAATTTGGCCAACGAATGGCCCCGAGCAGTTCAGCCAATTTGTCCGCGCAGGTTGTTTACTTGAAGTTTCCTTAGTGACAACTTGTCTAAATTTAGGTGGTGTTCTGCAGGCAATCGTCGAACAAGATATCAAATTTGGTTCGGTTTTCTCCGAACTGTAGGTGCTTATCACCGAGCCTCGATAAGGACTCAACCACTTATCAGCGAAGCTTCTGAACTATGAATAACTTGTCACGGGAGGCTGCAGAACAGGGCCAAGAATCAAAACGCATTGCCCACCTTCAGGTGTCACGAGTCTTCCGCTACAGAAAATGGTTACAACAGATTGCGCTAGATTTGCTGAGAACCCGTGAAATGAGAATAATACAATAATATCATTTGTGACGTGAGCAAGGATGGCTGAGGTTTTTTTTTCCTCTCTCTCACCAGCTGACGTTCCGCTCGGTTCTCCCGCTTCAGCAGACGTATCTCGCCTAGATCCGAGGTTGGAGGTATGTCTCTCCTAAACCTACTAGTTATTTAGAGTTAGACATCACTTTAGAGATGCATTCTATTTCTTTCTAACTGTAAGGGTCGATCAATGGTTGCCCCCCTCCTACCCGGCTGTTTGGTGGCTTCAAAGGACTGCATCGCATCTCGACCTAGCAATCAGATCATGTGAAAGCGTTCCAGCCCATCGTGACATGTTTTTTAGGTCGTTAAAAGGGCCCATGTCGACCTAGCATCTGTCAACAAATATCTTTCTATTGCTTAGCTAGGTCATATTCGTTTATAGCCTAGCTAGTTTAGTTCTTAGTGAGTACAGCCCTAGTTTTGTATCCCTCGACATTTTTCCTCAATCACAACTTTTCCCGCTACTCTAACATGGTATTGAGCTAGGTTAGATTTTTTTTCTGCCGTTTCTCACGCTTCCGCCATTACTCAAGCTACCGCCGTAACTGTAGCTTCTTATTTTTTGCGTGTGTGCACCTCTCTCAATTTCGCGCACTGTAGCCTTCCAATTCCGCGTACTGTAGCCTTCCAATTTCGCGCACTGTAGCCTAGATGCACTCCCCCCTTGCGTTCGCGCTGTTTCGTACGGCAGCCAGCAGGCCGGCGAGCATGCCAGCAGCACGCTAGCCAGCACACTAACCGACGCGCCAGCCAACGCACCGGCCGGCACACTAGCCAGTGCGCCCGCCAACGCGCTAGCCAGCACGCCAGTCATCGCGCCAGCCAACGCGCCAACCAGCTAGCCAGCACGTTAGCCAGCTAGCTAGCCAGCGCATTAGCTAGCGCGCCGCCAGCAATGCTAGCCAACTCGCCGCTAGCAGCTCCAGCCAGCTAGCAGCCAGCAGCGTGCGCCAGCACCTGCTGCCAGCTACTAGCCCACAGCGCCTGCCAGCTCGTCACTGGCCAGCTCCCTGCCGCACCAGCCATTGCCACTGGAGCAACTGCCTCTGCCACTGCAGCCACTGCATCTGCCGCCACTGCCGCTGCTGCAGCCGCCTATGCCACTGCAGCCACTGCCTCTGCCGCCCTTGCAGCCGCTGCTGCCGTGGCTGCCCTTGCAGCCACCGCTCCACCGCTGCCCTTGCAGCTGCCACTGCCGTTGCTGCTACTGCCGCTGCCAGCTAGTCGCTGGACAGCCGCCGCCACTGCAGCCGCCACTGCTGCTGCCTGTGCCACTGCCACTACCACCACTACTGCTGCAACTCCCACTGCCGCCACTATTGCTGCCCCTGCCGCTGCAGCCCCTGCCACCACCGCAACCGCTGCAGCCACTGCCGCAACCGCTGCAGCCACTGCCGCACCCACTGCAGTCACTGCCGCATCTTCTGCAGCCACTGCCACTGCCGCAGCTGCCGCTGCCACTGCAGCCACTGCCGCCACTACCGCTGCAGCAGCCCACACTGCCACCACTGCCACTGCTGCAGCTGCTGCCGCCACTGCCGCTGCCGCCTCTGCTGTTGCAGCTGCGCTGCCGCCTCTGCCACTGCTGTAGCCGCTGCCGCCTCTGCCACTGCAGCTGCGCTGCCGCCGCTGCCACTCCTGCAGCTGCTACCGCCACTGCCGCTGCCGCCACTGCAGCTGCCGCCACTGCAGCTGCCGCCACTGCCGCTGCCGCCTCTGCAGCTGCAGCCGCCACTGCCGCCACTGCCCCTGCGGCCGTCACTGCTGCCACTGCTCTTGCAGCTGCTGCTGCTGCCGCTGTCCTTGCAGCCGCCACTGCTGCCACTGCCACTGCTGCAGCTGCTGCCGCCACTGCCGTTGCCGCCGCTTGTGCTGTCACAGCTTGTACTGCCGCCACTGCCACTGCCGCAGCTGCTGCAACCCCCTGCTGCTGCCGCTGCAACCGCCAGCAGCAGCCACCACTGCCGACACTGCCTGTGCAGCTGCCACTGCCGCTGCCACCCTTACAGCTGCTGCTGCCACCGCTGCCCTTGCAGCCACCAATGCCACCATTGCCGCCACTGTCCTTGCAGCTGCCGCTCCCACCGCTGCTGCCACTGCCACTGCAGCCGCCGCTGCCCCTCCTGTCGCCACTGCAGTCACCAGCCGCCAGCAGCCGGCTGCCGGCAACCAGCCGCCGACCCCCAGCCGTCAGCCACCAGCTGCCACCACTTGCGGCCAGCCGCCGACCACCAGCCGCCAGTCGCCAGTCGGCCGCCAGCCTCATGAGTCCCCTGTGCCCTGTGGATTGTCATTCGCCCTGTGCTGCCGGTCCTAGTGACTCCTAGCTACAGTAGCTCCTCAGTGTGCTACTCCTAGTAGCTCCTCTCGCGCGTGCTTCCTTCTCGTTTGCTTCCTACTCCTATTTGCAACTTCTTGCCTCCTGCACGCTGCCACTGCTCCGGCCACATCCGCCACTGCTACTACCTCCGCTAGTGCTCCTGTAGCACCTAATGCCTCCCACTAGTCTCCTCCTCATTTCTAGAGTTCCTCGATGCCTCTCCTCTCGACATGATGGCCTCGTTCGGGTCCATCCCTTGGCCAGACCGCCGGGCACTTCCCTCCGCTCTTCGATTTCTCGCTCACCGTCTACAGCTGGTGAGCCCGCACCTAGACTGCACGCTCCTAGAGGATTACATAAGTTACCTCCTCGGGTTCTGGCTCCACGACCTCGACATCTGCTTCAGGGCTCTCTGGCCAGTGCCCCAGCCGCAGCAGCAGCAGCAGCAGCGGCGGCAGCGACAGCAGCCGCAGTGGGGTCTTGGGGGTGCTGGGTGAGGTGGAGGCTCTAGAGGTGCAGCCTCAGGGCAGTCACTGTCCTGGGGCCAGTGTGGTTTCTCTGGAGGACCGGGGGCCTTGGGGCCTAGGGGTCTAGGTCCCACCACTGTGTCTAGTCTTGGAGCCTCTACTCCGTGTCCCCTAGGCTCCTCCCCTGCCCCTCCTGAGGCGGCCCTCTTCTTTATCCTTGAATCGAACACATCTCGTTGCTTCTTTAAAGACAGTAATGCTCT